CTTTCCCAACCACAGAGCCCAGCCTACAGCCCCGCTCAGCAGTTGGAGTTCTCATGGCCTTCTATGATGGCTAAACACAGCCCGCAGTCTCCCCCCAGCAGGCCATGTGGCAGGTAATCCCACCCAGTTGGGCTGTGTAGCCTGTAGCCTGCAGTAGACACAATTGCCAGATTGCCTTGATTGCAAAATTGTTGCCCTGTGAGGCATAGAGGATCACTTCAAGCCTGGACAATGAGATAGCCAACAGTGGAGTACAGTTGTTGTGTGCTTGATGGGAAAGAGCTGATTATGGACTTATCTAACTTCTGAGCAGACCTGTGGACCCCCACGTGATCACAGAGTGCCCTGAACACATCCCCAGCTGTGAAGGCCTGTCTGAGAGCCCACCTGAGTATAGAATCAGCAATACCATATGGGCAGGGAGCATGGTAGTGATCTAGGAGCAGTTGTAGGACAGTCTACTGCCTTGCCCAATTAGATTGTCTATCCCGTGGCATGTAGCCTTTAGATAAGAGAAAGTTTATAGCAATAAAGGGCTGGAGCGATAGCACAGTGGTAGGGTGTTTGCCTTGCATGCAGCCAACATGGCCGACCCGAGTTCGATTCCTCCGCCCCTCTCGGAGAGCCCGGCAAGCTACCGAGAGTATCTCGCCCGCACGGCAGAGCCTGGCAAGCTCCCCGTGACGTATTCGATATGCCAGACACAGTAACAACAAAGTCTCCAATGGAGATGTTACTGGGCCTGCTCGAGCAAATCCATGAACAACGGGAGGGCCTTTACCTTTACCTTTACCTTATAGCAATAAAATTTATTTTAAGGAAAAAAATCAAATAAATTTTTAAAAATGGGAAGAAATGGGGCCAGAGCAATAGTACAGTGGATAGGGTATTTGCCTTGCATACAGCCAACCTGGGTTCATTCCCTGGCATCCAATATGGTCCCATAAGCATCCCCAGGAGTGATTCCTGAGTACAGAGCTAGGAGTAACCCCTGAGCATCACTGGGTATAACCCAAAAAGCCAAAAAAGAAAAGGAGGGGGAGGAAGTGAACAGCCATTTCTGAAGAAGACCAATGGATGGCCAATAGGCACATGAAAAAATGCTCATCATCACATCATTAGGAATGTCTAAATCAAGACAATAGTGAGATATCATATTGAGATATCATTATGTCAGTGAGAATGGCACAAGCCAAATTATACTGGGAACAATCTCTGTTGGCAGGGATATGGTGAGAAAGGATTCCTCACTCACTGCTGTTGGGAATGTTGTCTGTCCAACCTGTATGACCAGTATGGAGAGTATTCATTAGCTCAGAATTGACCTCCCATTTGACCCAGAAATATGTATCTACTTTTGGATATATATCCCAAGGACAGAAAAAGCATTCATTCAAAAGAATATGTGTGACATCATTATTCATTGCAGCACTAAGTACAATAGCTAAGAATTTAAAATCAACCTAGGTGTTCAACAACAGATGGATCATAAAGCTGTGGTATGTATACACAGTGGAATACTACACAGCTGTAAAGAATGATGAAACCATGCAATTCATGGCAATATGATGTAACTGGAAGATATTAGTAAATGAAGTAAGCAGCAGAAAAAGAATAAACACAGGATAACATTCATGTGATATTTAGAATAACTGGATGAGGGAGTGCAGTATTTCAGATGGGGGATGCCCTGATCAACCTTGGCCCCAGAGTAGAGGGAGTAGAAAGAAAGAAAGAATGGAGAGGAGGGGGAGAAGAGGCAGATGAGAAGTGACAAGGACTAGTACAGGGGAATCAGATACAGAGGCGGTATTGAGGAATGATAACCACAGAGTCAGCAACATTGAAATCAAGAGACCCATCAAGAGACCCAAACTTTAGCAACCAGACTTAGAAAGGTTCTGGTCAAGAGGGCAGGCAGGGGGTGAGGATGATATGGGAGGGAACCTGGGTACCTTGGTGGAGGGCAATTAACACTGGTGGTGGGATCAGTGCTGCAATATTGTATGTTAAGACTCAACTATGAATAACTTTATAAATCACAGTAATTTTTAAAAAGTGGAGAAAACTTTTTAAACAAAACAAATGAAGAATAGACTATAACCAAAGTTGGCAAAAGAAAACAAATTATAAAAATTAGAACATAAATAAAATAGTTATAAAACAATAGAGAAAAAACCAACAAAGCTAAAAGCTGTTTCTTTGAAATGCCAAGATTGACAAACCTTTAGCTAGACTAACCAATAATAATGAAGACATTTGTACATTGAAATTATAAATGAAAGAAAAGCCATAGCGGCTAACCACAGAAATAAATATAAGGTATCATAAGAGACTTCTGTAAGTAATTGTACATTATAAATCTAAAATAAATGAATTTCCTAGAAACAGATCACCTTTCAGGATTGAATTATGAAAAAGCATAAAATAGTGACAGTTCAATAACAAAAAGAAAGCTGAATCTAAAATCAAAAACATCCCAACAAAATCTGGCTTGATAGATGAATTTTTCCAATCATTTAAACTGATCTTTTCCCCACCTCACTTCAAAACTATTGATGAGTAGGGAATATACTCAAATTCATTTTAAAAAGTCATCATGTTCCTTATCCTGAAGCCAAATTAGGATGACAAAGTATGTCCTAATTATGACAATACTGCCAATGAATATGGGCACAAAAATATTAACTAAAACTACCAAGCCTAATCAACAATATGTTGTAAAGATCATACACAGTAACGATCAAATCAGATCCATCTCATGGGTTGCAAGAATGGCCCAACATATACAAATCCCAAAAAGTGATGCATCATATTAATAAAATGAAAGAAAATGATAGCAATAGGTACATAAAAAGTATTTAACACAAAATTCACATGATAAAAACTCTCAGCAAATTGAGCATATAGAAGCATAACAAGCAAAATAAGACTTGTGACAGTCAATGGTAAAGGTTGGAAGACTTTTCTGTAAAACCAGAAAAAGAACAAGGATTATTACACTCACCATACTTATTCAACATAATATCAAAAGTCCACCCAGAGACTTCAGGCAAGAAAAAAAAAAGAGATGAAAGGAATCCAAATCGAAAGGAAAGTGTAAAATATTCTTTAAAATTTGAATGGCTGGAGCGATAGCACAGTGGGTAGGGCGTCTGCCTTGCACGCAGCCAACATGGCCGACCCGAGTTCGATTCCTCCGCCCCTCTCGGAGAGCCCGGCAAGCTGCCGAGAGTATTCGATATGCCAGACACAGTAACAACAAAGTCTCCAATGGAGACGTTACTGGGCCCGCTCGAGCAAATCGATGATCAATGGGAGGGCCTTTACTTTTACTTTACTTAGATATGTATGTCTATAGATGCATATATAGTCCCATAAGCTCCATCATAAAATGTGTTAGAGTTGATTAATAACATAGTTAAACATAGGGCTGGAGATGACTCAGCAAACTGAGGTCATGCTTTGCATACAAGAGGCCCAAGTTCAAGTCCCATTACTGAGTGATCTCTCCAGCACCACCAGGGGTGGCCCTCCCCAAAAGACAAATCCAGTCAAATAAAAGTGTTGGATATTAATCTACTCTGCAAAAGCATTTATACATGAATAGAATATATGAAAAAAATTTAATCTACTTTACACTAGCATCAAAAATAATAAAATTATAGTAAGTGGAACCAAGGAATTGGAAGATCTGTACACTAAAAGCCATTATACACTGATTGCAAGCATTGATGAATGCAGCAAAAAATTGAAATATATCCTTTATTATGAGGATAGGACAGTTAGTATTTTAAAACATCTGTGTCACCCTAAGGCATTTAAAGAGATAGTGTGACCCCATCAGTGATTCTTGGTGAAGTTGTGGAGGGTCTTTTGACTACTTGGGGAAAATTAAAGTAAAACAGTAAAACTTTTTAACACTTCTTCCAAATATATACCCTTCCATGAAGTGTACTTTAAGTTCTAAAATTGACGATTCATTCACAGATGTCTCTTTTTCTCCAACAAATATTGAGTCCAAATTTTGAAATATCTTATTTTGTATTTTCACACCAGCAATTCCTATGATAAGTTACAAAGCTGAAAGAGGTTATGTGTGAGATTTGAAAATACTGGTGACATAAACATATTTTTTGATAGAACTTATTTTTTAGTGTCTAAAATAAATTGATGTCATTGTTAATGGAGTCAAATTTGAGTTTGTATAGAAGACAGTGGAACTTAGTATTAAGGAGAAAAATCAGAAGAAGACCATACATATAAATGTAAGTTGCAGCTAAATTGAGAAATTCTCATTAGAACAAAGGAATAACTTTTAGCTGGCCACAGTCTATGGAGTTCATTTTGGGGGGGATGGGATGATATCAGTATTTTTAATGTTGATTTTTTATGTTATTGCATCACCGTGAGATAGAGCATTACAAAGCTGTTCATGATTGGATTTCAGTTATACAGTGTTCCAACACCCGTCCCTCCACGAGTGTAATTTCTCAGCACCAATGTCCCCAGTTTCCCTCCCACCACCCTCCCTCTAAACCTCCCACCAGCCCTTTGTGGCAGATACCTCTCCTCTCTCTCTCTCTCTCTTTCTCTCTGTCATCTTAGGTATTATGGTTTGCAATACAGATGCTGAAGGTTTATTATGTATATCCCTTTACCTATTTTCAATACTCAGTTCTTGTCCAGAGTCTGCGTTGTGACTAACATGTCATAATGGACCCTCCTTTATCTTAACTACCCTCCATTCCCTACACCTTTGTGATAATTCCCAACCACTGACCAATCCTCCTGGCCCATTTTCCCTGGCCTTGGATATTAGTTTCATAGTAATTTTTTTATATATCCCACAAATGCATGCAGAAGTAGAGTTCAAGGAGCCTCAGGCATTTCAGGAAATATTTGTCACTATTTTGCCTAATCATGTCTCTGTCTGTGAATGCTGCCACCTTCTCTCCCCTGCTCACGGTGCTGAGTCCTACCTGTCACATCCCCTGCAGGACCTTCAGCGAGACATCGAGAAGCACAGCACAGGCGTGGCCTCTGTGCTCAACCTGTGTGAAGTTCTCCTGCACGACTGTGATGCTTGTGCCACGGATGCCGAGTGTGACTCCATCCAGCAGGCGACTCGAAACCTGGACCGCCGATGGAGGAACATCTGCGCCATGTCTATGGAGCGCAGGCTCAAGTAAGCTGTGCCATTCAGATGCTTGCCACACGCAGGGAAGAGGAAGGACCCATCCCTGAGCCTACCCCCTGTTAGCTCTTTCTTTCTAATCTCGTGTCTCAGGTTGCCCAGACTCGCCATTGTCTGCCTGTACTTAGCAGTAGAAGTTGGTCTCGAGGTAATCGAGAACTGCAAGTCATGCCTGACCTTGTTTAAATCACCATCAGAAAAATCAAAAATGTGCCATTGCCAAGCAAACATCATGACAGTCACGTTTTATTATTTTAGTTTTGGTTTTGGTTTGGGGGCTACACCCAGCTGCTGAGGGTTTACTTACTGGCACTGTACTCAGGGATCAGTCCTGGTGAATTTGACCAAATGTGGCGCAAAGGATTGAATCCCTGTCAGCCACAAGCAAGGAAAGTATACTCCCCTGCTGTACTATCACTCAAGCCCAGTAACATTTATTTACTTAAAATAAAGTGGGGTCGAAGCAATAATATAGTGGGTAGGGCATTTGCCTTGTATGCAGCTGACCTGGTTTAAATTCCCTGAACTCCATATGGCACCCCATGTGGAGTAAAATTTTTAAGAAAATGAAGACAAAGAATCTAACCAATCATTTCCCAGCCCTTGACATGCAGTGAAGTAACAACTTGTATTAGAAGATTATCACCATGATTTAAGGCATAGCCAGAGGAAGTTTATTGTTGTCCAGAAGGAACTTTAGAAAAGCAATGTTTGGTTTCATGACACAGATGGGCCTGGGTTCATGTGACTTCATGTTGGATTTAAATGGATTTTCATGCTCAGTTTTATTTTAGCAGCCCATCCTGCTGATGTGGTCTTGCATTTTGAAATCCCCTTGTCTGCCTCCAGAGCAATCACATTATATGTTTATAGTTCTCAATTCGGTTAATTCCAAGTCCAGAGCTACAGGACATGCGTTTTCAAAAGGAAGAAAGGAGGATGGAAAGAGGCAGCTGTTTCCTTTTAACGCCAACAGCTGTCCCCTTTTTGCTCTGGTCCAGCTTGGCCGGAGGCTGTGGGGGGCAGCATTTGGTGCCAAGAGTACTCCTAACCCCCTGGCGGGCGTCCAGTGGGCTCCAGCGAGGGAACTACCCTGCTCAGCCTGAGTTGCTTCTTTCATTTTCTGCCTCAGAATCGAAGAGACCTGGCGATTGTGGCAGAAGTTTCTGGATGATTATTCTCGTTTTGAAGATTGGCTGAAGATTTCCGAAAGGACAGCTGCCTTCCCCAGCACTTCTGGGGTGCTCTATACAGTTGCTAAGGAAGAGCTCAAGAAATTTGAGGTGATTTCTGTTGTCCTTGTTTTGCTGTAGTGGTGACTCTGCATATCCCGGGAGAGAAACTGATGCTTTGTGTCCCCATTTTTAATTCAGATAGCTGGATGGTCACCTGGCGACCATCTCCTCTGTAGGCTGATAAGGCAGAGAGGATGCTTTCATTTTAATTTGAGGTTATCAATAATGATGTGCAAATTAATGAAGAAGACACATTCTAGTAGGGGACAAGAATCCCAGTTCCTCCTCAAAGATCCTGGCATTGTTTTTCATTCATAAACATCTGCAATTAACCACTCATCTTCTCGGAGGTCAAACTGTATCTGTCTTCCAAATTAATTTTTTTTCCCTTTTTCTTGTTACCGAATTGGCACATACATACATAATCTCCAAGCCATTGGTAAGTTTGATTTGGCCTCAGCATGGAATACAGCATTTTAGTTGCAATCCATTACTAATCCCAGGTGGAGGGCAGTACCATGGTGAGTCACTGAAACTTTTTAATCATGCAGAGACAAATATAGCAGCACAATGATCACATTCATAAGGGGTTATTCAGTCACTCATTTCATTTCTTTGCCTGTCCATGGCTCTTCTATGTCACAGCGAGGGCAGGGGACCCCAGTTTCTCAACTGCCTCTGCTTTTCACAGAGAACCTGAGATAGTGTTAGTTAGACTATTGTCTAGTCAGGAGTTTCTTTTCTCTTCACGTCCTCTGGCAGATGAATAGACTGCAAGCAAACTGTCCCATACATGTGTCTGATTTAGCTGACAAAAGTCATTCTCAGTTGCTAATTCTGTTCCATGATCCTTAAAGTATTGCCAAATAAGACACTATAGCACTGTAGCACTGTCTTCCCGTTGTTCATCGATTTGCTCGAGTAACGTCTCCATTGTGAGACTTGTTGTTACTGTGTTTGGCATATGGAATACATCACAGGTAGCTTGCCAGGCTTTGCCGTGCAGGCAAGATACTCTCGGTAGCTTGCTGGGATCTCTGAGAGGGGTGGCGGAATCAAACTCGGGTGGGCTGCATGGGCCGTGTGCAAGGCAAACGCCCTACCCACTGTGCTATATTGCTCCAGCCCAAATAAGACAGATCAACCAAATTTTGCTGGATTTGTTTCTACCCCACCTCATTGCTCCAGTTATAGGAAAGATGTGGTTTGGTTTTTGTTTCTTCTTCTAAGCTAGAGGAGCAGCTCTATGAATTTATAAAATTGTTCAAAGATTATGTGAAATGCATGACTCAAATCCATAAATATGGATTTATATGTAACTCTGCCTCTAAGTTTGGTTATTTTTTCTATCTTAAGAGGTCTTCTCATAGAAAAATTATAGTGAAAGGACAAAATAAGCCATATTGTAGATTTCAGGCTCCCCCGATAGGGACCAGAGCAAATAGGAATGTTCCAGTACTGTAACACTCGGCTTCCTAAAGGTTAAATGAGTCCTTCTATAATTGGCTTAGATTACAAGAGGATTGTACAAGATTTCTTTTGATGCTATTTTAGACTCTTGGACTTCATGGCAAGAAGTTAGCCCTAAAATTAACCCTATCACTAGCTTCTATAATGAATTATTTTATCATTCATTATTTCTGTCTCCGTTAATTATTTTTAAAAGTAAAGCAGTCTTATTTCAAGAAATTTACACAGAGAAATGTGAAGGGAGGGAGAAGGGAGGAGAGAGAGAGAGAGAGAGAGAGAGAGAGAGAGAGAGAGAGAGAGAGAGAAAGAGAGAGAGAGAAATGTGTTTTAAGAAATAACATGGGCTTTTCCACGGGGGAAAAAGCTGAGAGTACACAGCTCAGGTTGAGATATGGCCAGACTGCATGGTGTGTAGGGTGCCTCATTGTGTTACAGACAGAAATAAATAACAAAAACAGAACCAGCTTGAGTCTAGTCTCAGGCCACCCTTGGTGACACCCCCATATGTTCTGACTTCTAGTCATCCCCAAAGCACAACCCTTCTTACCTCTTCTTGTCCAGGGAAGTCACCAAACCTTATGGACTAGGAGGTGAGATTTATTCGGCTGAAGACTCTTAGATGCCTCTCAGAATGTTGCAGGCAGGCAGAAAGGAGGCCACATGTAGACAGAGGGGTGAGCCATGGGCTCATAAGCTCTGTGAGTATGTGTGTGTTAGATATAATCATAGGAGACTGAACCTGTGGGTTGTGAACGGAGTCCAGTGGTTAGAGAATGTTCCAGTGCAGATAGAAGCATCCATCATGCATTTCACTTCTTTCTACTGCATGTTCATGTTCTTCTGTACGGTAGAGAGAAGAGGAAAGGGTAGGTTGCCTTCCTGAGTCTACGCTTTGCCTAAGGAAACCTCCAGGATCAATAGACTCTATTGTGGAAGTGGGGCGTCGGGTCTTGGGGTTTATGATAATGGAATTGTTGGTTCATGGGAGCAGCAGCAAAGGAATAGAAACCGCTCCAAGGGTGTGAGTTTGATTGTATGGTATTAAAGTGTTTGAAAGTTAGCTTGTGTTCAGAAGACTTTTGGGGAAAGGTGATTTTTAACTCCTTTCTTTTTCACACACACACACACACACATATATATATATATATATATATATATATATATATATATATATCACTGCACTGTCCTCCTGTTGTTCATCGATTTGCTCGAGCGGGCCCAGTAACGTCTCCATTGTAAGATTTGTTGTTACTGTGTTTGGCATATCGAATACGTCACGGGTAGCTTGCCAGGCTTTGCTGTGCGGGCGAGATACTCTCAGTAGCTTATAAATATATATATTACATTATATATATACATATATACATATATGTATGTATATAGGTGGAGCAATAGCACAGTGGTAGGGCGTTTGCCTTGCATGCAGCCAACATGGCCGACCTGAGTTCAATTCCTCCGCCCCTCTCGGAGAGCCCGGCAAGCTACCGAGAGTATCTTGCCCGCACAGCAGAGCCTGGCAAGCTCCCCATGACGTATTCGATATGCCAAACACAGTAACAACAAAGTCTCCAATGGAGATGTTACTGGGCCCACTCAAGTAAATTGATGAACAACGGGAGGACAGTGGTGATACAGTGATATATATGTATAGTTATATATATATATATATATAGTTTCATGAGGGGTTTTTTTGGCTACCATTCTGAAAGCTATTTCTATATGTGTTAGATATACATTTGTGTCCATATGCATCTATAAATATATGCACATTTACTTCTCTTACTCTTTTTTTGGAGGGGGTTAGATTCCACCTGGCTGTGCTCAGGGCTTACTCCTGGCTCTGAGCTCAGGAATCACTCCTGGCACTGCTTGGAGAACCTGTAGGTGCTGGGGATTAAACCCAGAGCAAGCACTTGAACCCTATCCACTGTACTAGCTCTCCAACCCCTATGCACATTTATTTCTATGGACTCTTGCCCATCATGATTTTCTTGCTTCCAGCCACACTGGTCCTTGTGCCATGAACCAGCCAAAGGAGGTGCCCTCAGCAGCAACGGCCTGAGATGCTCTGGTTCTGTCTGGGCCACAAGGTTGCCCCCCTCCTCGCTCCTGCCGTGGAGGTGTACCCAGGTGCACCCAGGCTGAGAGCCCCTTTTCTTATCCGCCTCCTCCCAACCCACCTCTCTGTGTCTCAGGCCTTCCAGCGCCAGGTCCACGAGAGCCTGACTCAGTTAGAACTCATCAACAAGCAGTATCGCCGCCTGGCCCGAGAGAACCGCACTGACTCAGCCTGCAGCCTGAAGCAGATGGTGCATGAAGGCAACCAGCGATGGGACAACCTGCAGAAGCGGGTCACCTCCATCCTGCGCAGACTCAAGGTTTCTATTGACTGCCACCATAGCACTGAGGGCCAGGGGGCAGGGCTGGGCCCCCGGAACCAACATTAAGACACTGAGTGATTTGGTGGGATGGTGATGGCCAGAGAGCCAGCAGGGGTTCTCATGGCATGGAGAGAAAGGGATTTTGCAGTGGAGTGAATATTGGCGTTGACCGCGGCATCTCAGTATTTGGATGTGACATTTTACAGTTGAATTTTTTCACTTTTCACATCTAGCACTTCATTGGCCAGCGTGAGGAGTTTGAGACAGCCCGGGATAGCATCCTGGTGTGGTTGACAGAGATGGATCTGCAGCTCACCAACATTGAGCATTTTTCTGAGTGTGATGTCCAGGCTAAAATAAAGCAACTCAAGGTAAGATATGCGTGTTGTTGTTTTCAAATAATTGCTGCCAAGAATATTTGAGAGGGAGGGAATTTTAGTTCTTTTCAGTAAAGAGCTTTGCTTTAAAATATTTTTTTACTTATTTTTTTATTCATTTAAGACAGAGTTATTAAATTTTGGTGATGCTTGGAAGCCCATTTGGTACCGGGATTGAAAACAGGCTACTGTGTGCCAGGTATATTCATACCACTGAGCACTCTTTACCCCAAGAACCTTGATATTAAAAAAAACTAGTCCTTGGATTGAGGATATAACTATAAAGGGGTAGAGTTATAGCCTATGTGTGGTGACAGCTCAGGCTTTCCATGGTTCCCTAGGTACTCCTGGAAGTGACCCCTGGGCATCACCAGGTATCACCAAATAAGCAAAGTAGCAAAGAAAAAAATAGTGATTCTTGATGAGAAAATATCAGGAAATCCAAAGGATATTCAAGATGCCAAAAAAGAATACTTCCCAGAATTATAACCATTAGCATAGAACCACTACCATATAAACTTTATTCTTAATGCTAATGATTATTTGCAAGGTATTAGAGGCCTTCTCTTTTGTTGGTTGTTTTGGTTTTTTTTACCACTTTCAGAGAGTTACTTTGACCGACATGTTCCAGAACAAAACAACTTTCTTACATTGGAGGTTTATTTTACATGGTCTATATTTTCAGATACCAGGGTAACAAATTTTCACTGTTAAGCACATTTTATATGCTTCCCTATATAATTCAAACACAGAAGCTAATTGCACATTTAATTAAGCAGGATATTCTCATATTTCCCTTCCGGCCTGAAGATACAGCAGCCCACACCCACACCCGACACCCCCAACATAGAAACAGCCTAACTCCACAACTGAACCTCATCAAGCTGCTAAACGTTTCAGCTCCTGAAGCAACACCTCCAAAGTGCATAGTACCTTCAGCCTATAGGATCACAGCAGATCTGATGGGAAAGTTGCATAGAAGCCCACAAAGCTCAGTGCACATAAACAATAACCCGGAAGGCGCAACTAGCACCAACCAGCCCAGAAAAACCTCAGACAATAACTTTAGTCACACCATTGTGAGATAAAATAACAATTATTACAGACTGACTTTTCTTGATCTTTTTTTTTATAATTCTATTTGCCCTTATGTTTTAATAAGCCATATGAAGTAAATTTGTCCCTTCTGAAGGGGCAGACTTGGGGGTGCGTTGAAGCCTGGGAAGTCTCACTGATAGTAGAATTGGTGTTGGAGCATTGAATGCCTGAAACAACTGTATTATGAACAGCTTGGTACATCACAATATTAAAATGTTTTTAAAATAATTAGGCAGGTTATCCATTCAATATAAGGATTCCCTAAAGCAAAAAGGGTTAAACAGTTTGAGTAATTTACAAGCTTAAAATTTGCCCACGATAGGTATTTTAAAGAACTGAGGCTAAAGAGGCAGTATAGTGGGTAAGGGGTTTACCTTGCATGCACCTGATCTGGTTTCAATTCCTGGCACACCATATAGTCCCACAAGCCATGAGTAATCCCTGAGCACCACCAGGTATGGTTCAGAAAAAGCAAGCAAGCAAAAGAACACAAAAAAGAATAGTTATGATTTCTAACCGATGGTTGTTACAGTAAGGCAAGAAAGTTATCCTTCATTAGAGTTTCTCAGATTGAGCAAAATTCACAAATTAATAAATCCTCATCTTTTGTCCACATTTCCTTCCTTACCCACCTCACCCCATGCCCCCAAGTTATTTCACGGACAAATATATACGACCTTTGAGAAGACATTTCTACCAAGTGGCCATTGACTCTTTTCTTTTTGTACTCAGACAAGGGTAGAGCAGTAGCACAGCAGGTAGGGCATTTGTCTTGCACACGGCCAACCCAGGTTCAATTCCTCCATCCCTCTCAGAGAGCCTGGCAAGCTACCGAGAGTATCCTGCCCATACTGCAGAGCCTAGCAAGCTCCCCATGGCATATTCGATATGCTCAAAACAGTAACAAGTCTCACAATGGAGATATTACTGGTGCCCACTCGAGTAAACCTATGAACAACAGGACAGTGCTACAGTGCTACTCAGACAAAGTCATAAAACTTTTTGCAACTCTGCCTTCTTCCCTGGAAATCTCTTCCATTATTGGACAGTTTCCCGTGTTTCAAGTATCATAGAAAAATAGTCTATTCACCTGTTTCCATTGGCATGAATTGGAATGTATCCCTTGAAATTTGTCCCTAGTAGTAGAACTCTTTTCAACCCACTAGAATGACTCTAAATCATCCTCTGGAGTTCTTGATTCTTTCAGAGCACTGTAACCTTTCTTGCCTAAATTCTGAAACAATAAAATATTCATCTGAAAAGAATTTATGATATTATCATTTGGGTGGTTTCTCTTAGTCATTCTTTTTTTAAAAAAAATTGTAATAAAACACCATGATTTACACAGTTATTCAGAGCTGGGTTTTAGACAAACAATATTCTAGCACCAATCCCACCACCAATGTCAATTTCCTTCTACCGATATTCCCACATTCCTTCTCCTACTCACAACAGCCTGTCTTAGTCATTCTTGATAAATCAAGAATGTATCGAGATTTATATTTATAGTATGAGACTAATATCCAAGTGAGGATAAACAGAGGCCAAGAGACAGGTCAGTGGTTGGAAGCTTGCCTCAAGAGTGTGTGAGAGGCTCAGGGCTCAGGGAAAGGGAAATACCTGATAACCTTTCATTATCTGTATTGCAAATGACAAGGTCCAAAAGGGAAGAGAGAGTGAAGAAAAGAGAGTGGGAGAGAGAAATAGAGAGATACAGAGAGAGACAGAGAAGAAAAGTGCCTGCCATAGTGGCAGACAGTGGGACAAGGTGGGAGGCGGGAGGGGGGTGGACAAGTGAGGGATCTGGGACCAACTGCTGGTGGGAAAAGTTCACTAGGGAAGGAATGGATGTTGGAACATTATATGCCTGAAATCCAATCATGAACAACTTCATAAATGTGTCTATCACTGTGATTCAATTTAAAAAAAAGAATGCATTAAGATTATGTCAAGAACTCTAAGATTAAATATTGAAGTATAAGCCTGCAGATGTTCAATGTGTTGAGAAGTTCTGCAGTAAGTCTATAGTTTTTGCATCTGGGAAGACCAGCAGGGCCCTTGTTCTGGTTGGCTTCATTGCTTCTTCTGTGATTCTCTATCTACCCTGTATGTGGTGGTAAATTTTGTTAACCAAAGACACCTTTCTGGTCATAAATTTCTAACAGTTCCCTTTCCAACTCCTATTCTGATATATATATATATATATATATATATATATATATGTATATATATATATATAGTTTGTTTAGTTTAGGTTTCTGTTGTTCCTTTTCAGGGGGCTGGCATTTGTTTTTGTTTGGGGCCACACCTGAAAGTGCTCAGAGGTTACTCAGTGCTCAAGAGTGACTCCTAGTTGGCTCAGGGGACCATAGGGGATGCCAGGTATCAAACCAATTCGTCACATGCGAGGCAAGCTCCCTACTCACTTAACCATTTCTCTGGATCCTCCAGTGATATTTTTGGGTGTTTCATTTTCAAAAGTAATAATGCCCCAGCTTTTAGAGGGTAGAAAATCTCGTTTCCCCAGTGGTATTGTTCTAAGTATTAAACACCCAAAGTGCACATTAAAAGAAGTGATGATGGGTGGCTGGAGTGATAGCACAGCAGTTAGGGCATTTGCCTTGCATGCGAACGACCCAGGTTCAATTCCCAGCATCCCATATAGTCCCCTGAGCACCGCCAGGAGCGATTCCTGAGTGCATGAACCAGGGATAACCCCCGTGCATTGCCGGGTGTGACCCAAAAAGAGAAAAAAAAAAAAGAAAAAAGAAATGACGGTGGACGTGTGCCCTTCTAGGCCTTCCAGCAGGAAATCTCCTTGAACCACAACAAGATCGAGCAGATCATCGCACAGGGAGAGCAGCTGATGGAGAAGAGTGAGCCCCTGGACGCGGCCGTCATCGAGGAGGAGCTGGACGAGCTTCGTCGCTACTGCCAGGAGGTGTTCGGGCGCGTGGAACGCTACCACAAGAAGCTGATTCGCCTGCCTGTATGTAGCCTTTACTTGTCCGTTGTCATTCAGCAGGGGAGAGTGAATCCCGGGGGGGAGGGGGGCACGGGGGAGGTAGCCCTGTGCGTTTTCTGTCCCACTCCAGGTGCTTGTAAGCCTGAGCAGGGTACTTCACACCTCCTGTCTCAGTTTTCTTAACTGTAAAGTAGTTTGGGTGATTTTTATTTATTTTTTTTTTGAGGGGGGCAGATTTTGAGGTCATCCCAGTTAGGTGCTCAGGGCTAACTTCTGACTCTGTGCTCAGGGTTCACTCCTGGCTGTAGTTTCAAGGACCCTTGGGGGTGCCAGGGAGTCAAACTCGGGTCAGTTGCATGCAAGGCAAGCACCCTACCCTCTCTACTGTCTCTCTGGCTCCGTAAAATGGGTTTAACATCATGAGCCTTGTTGAAAGGATTGTTTTGGACACCAAATGCACTAAGACCCATGTGAAAAGCTTAGGAGAGTCCTTGACATATAGCTTTAGGGAAGAGGTATAATCTTGTGGGAGAAGGAAAAGGGTGAGCATGAGTCATATATGAGCAGTTGCTCAGATGGCGAAATTGTTTTATTGATTTCCCTCCCCCCCCTTCCTAATTTCCCACTCTCTTCCATCTTCTTCATTTTCTAACATCTCCTAAGGATGTTAGAAAATTTTTGAGGATGTGGGGAATCTTCTCTGATAAAATAGATTTTTGTATCCAAGCCTATGAGGTTAGAAAAATAAAGAGCAGCTCAGGGTGCTTTTTTTTTTTTGTAATTTTCTTTTGCTCCTGTTACGAGCTATTATGCACCTGTTATATCACAGATGTCGAACGTAGATGGCTTTTTTTTTCTTCGTGTGTGGGGCACACCCAGCTTGCCCAGGGCTTGCTCCTTGCTCTGTGCCTAGGGATCACTCCTGGCAGGACTTGTGAACCCCATGGGGTGCTGGGGATAGAATCTGGGTCTGCTGCATCCAAGTATAAGTGCCTTACGCATGGCACTATCTCCAAAGACTAGGTAATAGTTAGATATTTGAAGTATGTTTTAAGAGGATTTTTTTTATTGTGGCAGTGATATAAAAGAGATGTTGGTAAGTTCACTCGCAAGTTGTTCTTCAAAGAAATCTGGATTGTTGGTTTGGTTTTTGTGCGGCACCCGTGATGCTCTGGGCTTACTCCTGGCTCTGAACTCAGGAATTACTCCTGGTGATGCTCAGGGGACCCCATCAGAGGCCAGGGAGGGAACCTGGGTAAGCGCCCACCCTGCCATCCTGTCACTGCACCTCTCGCCCCCCAATTTTTCTGCACTTGCCGAGGGAGCCATTCCAACAGGGCCGAGAAGGTACCCAGAGCAGCTGAGTGCTAAGGGGTGATGAGAGCAGAAGCTGGGCGCTCGGGGCCGCTGTCCCGGGCGATCGCGTTTTTAGTTGGCTGATTGCGTTTTTAGCTCGCAGACGATGAGCATGACCTCTCGGACCGGGAGCTGGAGCTGGATGACTCCGCCGCCCTCTCCGGCCTGCACTGGCACCCGACCTCTGCCGATGGCGGCCCGTCCCCACAGCCCTCCTCCAACCCCTCCCTCTCGCTCGCGCAGCCCCACCGCAGCGAGCCCTCCGGCCGGGACACCCCCGCCAGCGTGGACTCCATCCCCCTGGAGTGGGACCACGACTACGATCTCAGCCGGGACTTGGAGTCGGCCGTGTCCGGAGCACTGCCCTCGGAGGATGAGGAGGGGCCCGAAGACAAAGACTTCTTCCTGCGTGGAGCCGTGGGCCTGGCAGGTGAGAGAGGTCGCACCCCCCCCTGCAAATCTCGGGGCTGCACATCCCAGAGAAGGACTTGGGGTGTTGGGGAAAGGTTTGAAAAACACATGGAGAACTGGCCGAACTAGCCGCCTCCTCTCCCAGTTGGGGCATCACACTAAAGGTATGAGTGAACATGGATGTGGTGGCAAAAGTCAGCATGACCGTGAATTAGCATCCAGGTCTTGTGTTCTTCATACATGATGAGCACACAGGGGAGCAACGGGGAGATGCTCCAGCTGGTCCACAGAAGCAGCTAAGGCAGGATGTTGAGCACCAGAATAGCCACCCACGGTGGCCTCGAAGTCTCTACCTTCCCTCTAGGGAGCGCATCTCAGTAGCTGCAGTTCCTGAAGAACCTGTGCTGAGCTCGAAGAAGGGGAGAGCATTGGGAGGGAGAGAGGCCAGGTTCAGTGTCCCCAAATCCAAGGCACAGATGCCTGCCAGGCTGCACTCAGGAAGCAGCCTTGGGAATAGGAGAGATGAGAGATGAGGGAGGAGAAGTCCAAGGATGGAGGAGATATTCTAGTTTGGGCAGCCCAGGGAACGCTCCAGAGCCAGTGAAAGGAGAGAACGTTGGGGCACTGGTGAGGTTGGGGAATTCAGGAACGTGAGGCAAAGAAAGACAGTGCCTTCAGTTGGGCGTGTTCTGAATCTTAGGGCCAAGCCAGTAGCGGGATGGGGGTAACGCAGCAGAGACACGTGGTTTGGGTGAGGGAGGCAGACTTGCATGGTACTTGGGTAGGAGCATGTCTCTGATGGAGGGATGGGTGGAGATCACACAGAACAGGCTTCTCAAAGATCAAACCCAAGGAGTGCAGAGAGTAGGCGGAGAAAGAGGAGTGTGGTGATAGGAAGGTGAATAGGAGCGAATGTGGACTCGGTGGCCACGGGGTGGCTCTGGCAAATGCACCCATGCACCCTGGCTCTCAAGGGCATCTCTGCCTCTTCCTCCTCATGCATCGTTGGATTCCCAGGGCCCCTATTGAGAGAGGAGATGGTTTCTGTCATTTTAGTCTTGCTTTACAGAGCAGCCTAACAGGCATTTGTCAGGGAAGGCAGTGGGTCTGACATACAGCCACTGGCCACGAGAGTCATAGGCAGCCCTACTGTGTGACTGATGTAACTGAGATGGGCTGTATCCAGAATGCAAGGACATGTGGATTTCAACCACCGAGGACGATATAAGGCAGTGTTTTCATGGTGGACATGCTGGTCCCGAGTTATCATTTGAATGTGCGGACTTGGTGGTACTCAGTGTTAAGATGGATTTTCTTCTATTAGCACTCTTTCGATGTGGCTGTTGGAACCTTTGGAATAGCATATTTGACCCCCATTATTTGTATTTAGATGCACTGTTCTAGAATTGGACCGTCTATGTTGAAATCCCACTTCTGCCATTTAGCAGTCATCGAGACTGGGCAGTTCCTTTGAGCCTCAGTTTTCTCATCAATAAGATGGGAGCAGGATTCTGTATTCTGTGCAAGGTTTCTGTGAGGATCCATAGCTGATTCCTAGCGCCCTCTCAGTCTGAGCACTGAGGCACTCTCTCGAATGATCCACGGCCTCCTTTTCCCTCTGAAAGTGATTTTCCTGCCTAAGGAATTGAGGTTTCCAGAATTTAGCTGTCAACTTAGTCTGTGCTCTCTTTGCAGATGTAACGATTCCTGAAAGCCCAGAGGCCTATGTAAAACTCACAGAAAAGGCCATCCAAAACTCTGCGGGTAGGCACCCGAGCCGTAGCAGCCTGCCGCGCCTGTAACAGCCCTCTCTCTCTCTCTCTCAGCTCATTCTGCTGAGCCTCTCACAGCTCTGTGCGCACGCATGGAAAGACAGAACCTTCCACCCTCACTGCTGCGCTAGGGAAAAGCCGAACAGAACAGCCAACCGTTGGTTGGTCAATACCAATAATTAGATTTCAAGAACCAAGTGCAAGGAGATAACTTCTCAGCTTGCCCCAGTGCCCATCAGTCTTGTGAGGCTGACAGTGCCCATTAGTGGTAGAAAATCAGAGATGAGAAACGTGGGATTTATTGATTTATTTATTTGGTTTTGGGCTGGAGCAATAGCACAGCGGTAGGGCATTTGCCTTACAAGCGGCCAACGTGGCTGACCCGAGTTCAAATCCTCCGCCCCTCTTGGAGAGCTCAGCAAGCTACCGAGAGTATCTCGCCCATTCAATATGCCAAACACAGTAACGACAAGTCTCATGATGGAGACGTTACTGGGCCCGCTCGAGCAAGTCGATGAATAATGGGAGGACTGTGACCATGACCGTGGGTTCACACCCCATTGGTGCTCAGGACTTACTCCTGGCTCATTATTCAGGGATCACTCCTGGTGGGGCTCAGGAGACAGTACGGGATGCTGGGGATTGAACCCCAATCAGCAGCATACAAGTCAAGCGCCCTCCTCATGTACTGATGTTCCCACTCAGGAACTGTGCTTTTTAGTGCTGAAGCCTCTTGTTGTGGCAGCACTGACTCTAGCATTCTCACTGATGAGTCAGAAATCAAGTCCCCAGTATGCCCAGCTGCTTGGGTGACCCTGACCCCATGGTGTCCTCTCCTTGAATCCAGGGGTCACAATGGAGACAAAGAGTGAGATCAGATGTTCCACTCTAAAATGTGTGTCATTTTCCCTGAGCACATCTTACCATGTAAAATAACTTGGAATGAAGTGTGTATCCTACCAAGATCTATAGACTTGTTATTTCATCCAAAGTTAGCACTATTCCCCAAACAAGAAAAAGTAAGGACAGAAGGGGGCTGGGGGTTACAACTAGCTGAATGTGGCAATAAAAAAAACTAGAATTCAATTATTTGGTAATGGTGGAGAGGACAGAGCATGAACATACATGGTCATGGGTTATTGAATGAGCAGCCCTTGAGTTTACCCTTGAACATCTGAAGAAAAGCAAAAGGACAAGGTGTAAAGTAGAATTGCCAAGGTTGGTAACTACTCCAAGATGCTCAGTGAGGATTTTTTCCAGATTTAAAGCTTACTAATATTTGTTCTGCTTCCACTCTGCGCTAGCTGCCTTCTGATATTCTTTCTTGTTCCAGGCCAAAGACTGTGACACATACACAAACACACATATATATGTGCATGCACGCACACACACACACACATGCGCACCCCCCTAAACTTTCCTCTAGAAAAGGAGAGCTGACATGGATTTTTTTACTTATTTTCTAATTTTTTAAAATTTTTTAAAAAATTTTTATTAGTGAGACACCATGAGGTACAGTTGTAGACTTATAAATTTTTGTGCATGGATTTTTAAGCTAAGAGCTTGCCTGGATGGAAGTGCTAGAACTAGCTTTTGCCTGGTTTGGGGTCACTTTTGAAACAAGCAAGTCCGTGCGAATGTATACGTTTCTACAGAACTATTCTGACATGGTTTTTCCTGGTTAACTTCAAGTCATACCTTATGTAAATAAGGGTCCCCGGACCATCCATAACATTATCTTCTGAGTGGCAGAAAGAAAATGAAGGGCCAGGATTGTGGTTCCAGAGTAGAGCACCTGCCTTACCTGCAGATTTCAGCAGCCTTGTTTGACCTGGAGACAAACATAGGGACCAGTAGAACCCCCAGATTCCTATTCTTGCATATCCAGCACACGTCACTGATCTGGTCCTCTGAACGTCTAACCCACCAGCACCTTAATGCTAAACTTGCTTTTTAATGACCTACACACATACCTGCCTTAGCTGAACTAATTTCTCTGAGCCGTCCTTTGGGAAGTGGGGCCTGAGATGATGCCTGTGCTTGACGCCGCAGGAGATCCGAGTGCCTTGGAGTCACAGATCCGACAACTGGGCAAAGCCCTGGATGAGAGCCGCTTCCAGATGCAACAAACCGAGAAAGTCATCCGCAGCAAAACTCCCACGGGTCCCGAGCTCGACTCCAGCTACCGAGGCTACGTGAGTATCCTGACCCCTGATTCTGATGTGCACCGTGCAGCCACAGCGGTGTGACGAAGAACAGGCTGTCTGCAGCAGTGGGGGGTCATAAGCTCCCTGAACCCCACAGAGCCCCCGGACTCCTGAACCCGAACTTGGAAAAACAAGACCCCTTAGCGCGTTGCCTTTGAGCCAACTGCGTTGTGCTTAGACCCACTCAGCCGTTGGAATGACCGCTGTGTTCCTTCACTCAGAGAACTTCATGAGAGCCTTTTTATTGAAGTCAACAGAATATGTGGTGTCCCAGAAATGATAAGGCATTTTTCCAGATTCAGCAGCCGATTTTAGCTAATAGTTGACTCACAGGGAATTGTTATTATCACTCGGTTTCTTTCCTGCATTTATTGATTCACTTGATGGCCTTGAGAATGTTTTAATTCTCTGATCCTAATAGACTCATCGTGGAAAAATAACAATTCCAAGTAATAGGAGGAACTTGGGACAAGATAGGGAGAGATTGTATTAGTTCTGTTCTTTGGTTATTTATTAGTGAAGTCTATAATAACACCATCTACTCTGCTTGTGTAACTGACCAGACAATTTCAGAGATCTACCTGTTACATATATTTAGGTGAGAGTATTTGAAAATAGATCTCTTCTGTGTTGCAGTATTCTGTAAAAATCTTTTTACATCAAAAAGACTGGCTAGTAAATGGGAAGAAAAATTAATTTCACATAAATCTAAGGAAAATTTTTTCAGACCAATGAAGATCATTCAAACTATATTTGTAGATATAAATGTCACAATTACAGAGATGATGCACAATTACAGACACATCATCAGTCACAAATTTATTTCCTATCCAGTTTGACTATTATACTGATTCCTATTGTAGAGAAACTTCCTCTTTTTAAGGTGTAATCTGACTTCCTGATGAACACATTGACATCATTTAAGACTATATTCAACCCCAATCAAAAGTCAAGTTAGCTGCTAGCAATGTAGTTTAAGGACTTTGAAAGATAAATTTATGCTCAGTCTAGCAGAGTGCCTTGAAATGATTTGTTCTTTTAATCTTTAAACTCAATGCATAATAGTAAAGACACAGTTGAAAGCTTTCTTTGATGCTAGAATTGATTCCCATAATTGTTAAACATTGCTTTATGAGTCTCATGAAACAGCCAATGTTAATATTACCTGCTGCTCTTAAGTATCTTAGTGATTTCTTGCAAAAATATTTCTTTTAGGACTGCGGTAACATTTTTGTTCACACATTTCTGTTGAAGAAAAGAGGAAGAAACTTACTAGATATTACATACTGTATTTCCAATTGAGGGTGTTTTGGGATTGTTTTGCTTTTGTTTTTGTTTGCTTTCTTGCTTGCTTGGGGATCACACCCAGCAGTGCTCAGGCCTTACTCTTAGCTCTGCACATAGGAATCACACTTAGCAGGTTCAGGAGACCACATGGGATGCTGGGGATCTAACCCCATTAGACCACATGCTTTACAAGAGTCTTACCCACTGTACTATCTCTCTAGCTCTGAAGGCTTCTAGTTTGAAATTCCAGATTGGTTTGGTCAGTTTTTATGAATGAATTTGAGAAGTGAAGTCCACACCTATCTGTGCTCAGGGTCTCCTTGTAGCTCTAAAGTTCTGGCATTGCTTGGATAATTATATGTAGTGTCAGGGATAGAATTTGGGTCAGCTGCATGTACAGCAAGGAGTGTACCCGATGTCTTGTCTCTACAGCCCCAATACAAATAATTGGGGGTGCACGCTCAGAGTCACCATGGCCTATTCCCATCTCTATACTCAGGTAATTCCTGGCAACGCTAATCAAACTGCAGGTTAGCCACCAGCCAGCCAAGTGAGTTGACCCCTGTAGTGTTTCTCCAATCCTTGATTAACAAATTCAAAAGAAATTTTGAAGATTACCAGTGGGAAATATTTCTTCAAGGCCTGTCTTTTTGTGTATGTGACTAGCACATAGAGGAGGGAGTGACGGGACACATGTTTTTGAACTTATATTTCTTGGGGGAGGGGTTGTTTCCTTTTTTTAAAATTGTTGATTGAGATCCTGTAACTTACAGTATTGTGAATGATGATTTTTCATGCACGCAATTCCAATACCACATCGGAGTACCCGTTCCCTCTCCCAAGGACCCCAATAGCTCTCCTTTGCAATTCCCCCAACTCCATCATGTGCATCAGTTCTCCCCTTGTTTTGCCTTTGACCCTTTGTTGCTACCTTTCTGTATTTCTTTAAGTCATGAGATCATTCTGACATCCCTTTCTCTCTGAATGACTTCCTCAGCATGATACCCTTTCATTTCATTCATATTGCTGCAAGTTGCGATATTTTGTTCTTTGTTAGGGCTGCATAATATTCCAGTGTACAAAGACCACAGCTTCCTGAAAGCTTGACTTCATGCTTTCACTGTGAGGTCTAGTCTTCACCGAGAGGAGAGGCAGAGTGCCTGTCCTTTTGAGGGACTCCTGGGATACTTGCCCCAGAAGCTCTTGGCTGCATGAGAACCTGAGAACAGGGTGTTTTTGTGTCTCCCTCCCCACAGATGAAGCTGCTAGGTGAATGCAGCGGCAGTATTGACTCGGTAAGGAGACTGGAGCACAAGCTCAAGGAGGAGGAGCAGAACTTCCCTGGCTTTGTAAACCTGAACAGCACCGAAACCCAAACAGCTGGTGAGTGTGTAGCTACATTCCCCAGAGATCACATCCTCTGGCTGGCTGCCTGGTGATTCTGTCCCCACATTTTCCTTCTGGCTCCAGGAAGCTCCAGGGACAGAAGTGGCAAAGGGCCTCTAGAGCTCTGTCTGTTCCTTTCATCATCTCCCTTTTGTTGTTCAGGGGAGGGGACTCTCCCTGTGCTGCTGTAACCACCAGGGCAAGACCTAGTGATCCTCAAGAGATTCCAGGGGGGGGTCCCCTAAAGGGGATAGAGCCTGGAGTCTTACCCATGCTAAAGCACGCATGCATGTCCTTCAGATCATCTCCCCACCCCCTCCCACTCGTCTCCGTGTACCATCGCTAACATTAGCAGCCAGGCAATTTCGAGAAATGATTTCAGATAGCACCTGCGTGCTCATGACATGTAGTCCTAAATAAAGCTCTTTCCAGTGCGACATCCACAGTAGCTATTCTGTTCCCGCCCATTAACCTTTAAAATGCAGATAGGAAAAACACAACCTCTGTACTCACTGAACTGCATTTACAGATGCCCACAAACATGGCCAGTGGACTTGCTTTTTATTTCTGATGCCACTTCCACTTAACCACCCATGAAGGCAGAGAGGATGTTCGTAAGTGTCCCAGGCAAAGCCCAATACCTGTCTCTGTGCCTTTCCAGGTGTGATTGACCGCTGGGAGCTCATACAGGCCCAGGCCCTGAGCAAGGAACTGAGGATGAAGCAGAACCTCCAGAAGTGGCAGCAGTTCAACTCTGACATGAACAGCATCTGGGCCTGGCTGGGGCAGACGGAGGAGGAGCTGGAACAACTCCAGCGCCTGGGCCTCAGCACTGACATCCGGTCCATCGAGCTGCAAATTAAAAAGCTCAAGGTAACTGCCTTTGGCCTTTCGCACCCAGACAGAGCATGTGCTGCTATTCAATGAGCAAAGAATAGGGATGGGAACTAAAGAGAGAGAGAAAACGGTGAAGGCACTTGCCCTGCATGCTACCAACCTTGGTTCCATCCCCGGCATGGAGAAGGCCAGGAGTGATCCACGAGCACAGAGTCAGAAAAAAAAATTGGCAACAAAAAAAAATGGACTATTTAATAGCAGGTGATAATATATATAATATATTATATATATATATATATATATATATATATATATATATATAACCAACCTTTCAGATGCTTACCAAACTCATTGCATCTTAGAAGAGCATTTCAATTGCTGAGCTAAGGAGGGTGTTTAAGACTCAGACATGGCGTGAAAGGGTGTTTGTTATCTGGTGGGATAAAGCCTAGCATGTGCACTACATGGCCAGTTGAGGCCCCCACTCTGGCTCTGAGCCAAGCAGTAGGAAGAGCCAAGTTGTCACCAACGCTAGCAGGAATGCTCTCCTGAGCTCAGCCATCCCAAACCAGAGTCCCTAAGGAAAATTCAGCAGGGCAGAAAGATTTCCTAGAACATGTCATAGAACTTGTCTCTCAGGTCATGTCAAATCATTGGTAGTTGGAGAACGACCAGTGAAAATTTCAAGGAACATCTGGCACCTCTAGGAGCAGTTTTATGGGAACGACAGATCTGCCCAGTTTCTTGAAAATCTATTTAGAGCTAGAGATGCTTCTGGCGATGTCTCCAGGAGACCCAGTAAAACTGGGAAAAAGGTCTTTGAGATGGTGACATGGTAACACCACAACAGTGGCAGCTTCAGAGATACAGAAAAGAAGTGTTAACTACCAGAAATTCTACAGTATTGTAAACCAATGATAAATCAAGGGGAAAATGAAGTAAATTAGGTTCTAAAGCAACACTTCTGTGCAATTTCCTAATGAAAATGCCAAAAATCATTTTGGCATTGCAGAGAAAAGTGCATACAGATAATATACTCAGATATTACCCTGTAAACTACATCTACCATCTAAGGCTTCCATCCCAAATTGTTGGGGCTGGTACAGAGACTTCTTTCTAAGAAGTATGAACATTTGGGAGGAAGAGACATTTCTATTTGAAAAGTAAGGCCTACCAGGAAATAAACACATCGCCCCCAAATAAGTAGCATGTGCTGAAACCTGAGAACCACAAAAGAAGGACAGTTAATCCTTGAGTTGAGTTGGGAAAGCTGTTGAGGATGAATTCACCATGGGCTCTCCAAATATAAAGAGAGGCCCCAGGAGCTGCTAAAAAGAATGGACCTAGAGAGAATTCCCAGGTCTAGAGGTGAAATTCAAGAACTTTTTCCTGTGTACAGTATGGATCTAGGCTAAAACCCAAAGGCAATAACAGGTATCTTACTGTGAGTATTTCAATTTTGTTTTGTTTCATTCTCTCTGAAGCCTGCTCTACAGCTAGAATCATCTAGTTCTGAAATTCTGCAATTTCCAGAGCATTCTCCCCCTGCTGTGACCTTCCCTCCATCACTATCCTCAATTTCCCTCCCACCACCCGGCCTGCCCCTTGTAGATACAAGCAGATTTACATCATATTGTTTGTTACAACATAAAGGCAAATGGAATTATCCAGCCATAGATCGATATTAGTCAGTCTGTGGTAATCGTTGTATTTCATAGTGATGTTACTACCGTCATTGTCTGAGGATCTACTGTGTGGTTGGTGCTACTTGCGCCTTCTGTGTTATTGTTTAGGCTCCTGGAGCTTGGTGGCTTCTACACAAGTTTCCCATCAGGTTGACTTTGGTCCTGCTGGGCTGACAGTTACTAAGAAATGTTGAGGTGTCGCACAACCACATCTGCTCTAGGTGTGGAATAGTGTGGTAGTTTGATGAAGCTCTGTTGTGTTGCTGGACTGTTTCTATGTTGGAGGCTGTCAGGTGTGACTGTGGGCTGCTGTGCCTTCAAGCAGAAAGGGGAATCTTCCCATCTTCGTTCCCAGAAGACCCCAGAGTTCTCAGTCCTGAACAGTCTTTTTTTTTTTAATGAAACACCATGAGGTACAGTTGTAGACTTACAAATTTTTGTGCTTGGGTTTCAGTTGTACAATGATCGAGTACCCATCCCTCCACCAGTGCCCATTCTCTACCACCAGTGATCCCAGTATCCCTCCCATCCCCCACCCCTCCCATCCCACCCCGCCTCTGTGGTAGGGCATTCCCTTTTATTCACTCTCTCCTTTTGGGTGCTGAGGTTTGCAAAAGAGGCATTGAGTGGCAATCATGTTCGGTCTATAGTCTACTTTCAGTGTGCATCTCCCATCCTGGAAGGATCCTCCCAACACCCTTTACTTGGTGTTCCCTTCTCTATCTGACCTGCCTTTCCCCCTAGCGTGTACGGCTGGACTCCAAGCCATGGAGTGAACTGCGTGGTACTTATCTCAACTGTTCTTGGGTATTAGTCTCCTATTTCGTTACTTTATATTCCCCAGATGAATACAGTCCTTCTATGTCTGTCCCTCTCTTTCTGACTCATTTCACTTAGCATGATATTTTCCATGTATTACCACTTGTATATAAATTTCATGACCACATCTTTTCTAATAGCTGCATAGTACTCCATTGTGTAGATGTACCCAAGCTTCTTTAACCAGACATCTGTTCTCAGGCACTCGAACTTTTTCCAGATTTTGGCTATTGTGAACAGTGCAGCAATGAACATAGAAGTGCAGATGTCATTTTGACTGTACTTTTTTGCCTCTCCGGGATATATTCCCAGAAGTGCTTTTGCATCCTAATTGAGCACCCCTGGGCTAGTCAGAGGGGTTCTTTTGAAAGTGCTGGAGGAACACAGAAATAACTCAATGGGCTGGAGTATGTGATTTGCATATGGGAGTCCCCGGATAAGGTGGGTGAGAGGAAGGAAGGAAGGAAGGAAGGAAGGAAGGAAGGAAGGAAGGAAGGAAGGAAGGAAGGAAGGAAGAGAAGGAAAGGAAGGAAGGAAGGAAGGAAGGAAGGAAGGAAGGAAGGAAGGAAGGAAGGAAGGGGAAGTATGTTGAGAGTGAAAAAGTGAAACCAGAGCAGAAAGCACGGAGCCTGCCGCTCTGACTTACTAGAGCCAGCTTTGGTTTTGTTTCATTTATTTGTGATTAAGCTCCCACAGCACAGGTTGAAGAATCATTGTAGAGATTCTCCTTTGCTCTTTACAGTTTCTCTCTGTGCTATGCAGTGTCCTTTCCATCCCCTCCTCCCATCTTCATGGCTTTTTCATTCCCATGTCTATACCACAGCAAGATTTCTGAAATTAGAGTATTCTCTGTGTAGATGATTTTATGTTTCACTTTTTCACTCTCAGCATACTTTTTTTCTTTTAACTTTTTCTCTTTCTCTCTTTCTCTTACTTTATTCTTCTCTTCCTTCCTTCCTTTCTTTCTTTCTTTCTTTCTTTCTTTCTTTCTCTCTTTCGAATCCTGAACTCCTACAGGCAAATCACACACTCCAGCCCATTGAGCTATTTCCCTGTTCCTCCAGCTCTTATATTTCAGCTCCATATCTATTCCAGGTGTATAGATTCCCCCTGCCCCTTTCCCTGCAGTAAGTTTAGTTCTCAGGTGAGCACCCACCATCCACCATCTCTGACCATGGCTCTTTTCATTTGGATCATGAGTTTCCAATGGATGATGGCTATTAACACTTTCACCACCCATCTCCTTATGGTTACTCTCCCATTCCTTTGCAGGAACTCCAGAAAGCTGTGGACCACCGCAAAGCCATCATCCTCTCCATCAACCTGTGCAGCCCCGAGTTCATGCAGCATGGCAGTGAGGAGAGCCAGGACCTGCAGGACCGTCTGTCCCAGATGAATGGGCGCTGGGACCATGTGTGCTCCCTGCTGGACGCCTGGCGGGCCCGACTGCAGGAAGCGCTGATGCAGTGCCAGGTCTGTGGGGCTCGGGTTCCCCTGTGTCCCGTGGAGCAGTTTAGTTTTGGGGACTCTTTGAGCATCATTACCAAAGGGGCGGCTTGGGTGTTCCCCACCCTCACAATTTGAAGGTGCCAAGATGATGCCTCAACTTGTCGTTTCACTGGAAACTTTTTACATGTGCCCAGGAAGCCAAAAGCAGCTCAGTTCCCATCTTCTCTCCAGCAAACATGAGTTTCTCCCAGTCCCACTGTGCCTTCTTCGACTCATCCTGTCTTTCCTTCTTTCATGGAACTGGTCACCAATGTACACACTGGAAAACATTTCTTTATTTCCTTAGTGGAAGTTCATTGGCAAGAATATGATATGGGTTTCATCACTGAAGTGTGTGTGCATCATTAAATTTGTCCCCTTTGCCTGGATGTGTGGTTCCTCGCCCCTCATCACTCCACTCCTCACCTCACTCCCCTACCATCCTCCTTCCTTTGAAGACAATTCTTTTTGTTTGTTTTATTTGGGGGCCACACCCGGTGATGCTCAGAGCTTTCTCCTGGCTCTGCACTCAGGGATCACTCCTGGCAGGGCTCCAAGGGCCATATGGGAAGCTGGGGATTGAACCCAATTCAGCCTCAGGCAGAGCAAGTACCTTACCACTGTGCTGTCTCTCCAGCACCAAGAAGACAATGTTTGACTGGTAAATGGGCACCTTTGGTGTGCTGTTCCCGCTGTGGGATATTAGATAGTCATCATTCAGAGCACAGCCCAACCTCAGTGTGAGGGAAGACACAGAAAATGGAAAATGAGAGACTGGTTAGCCAAGCTCTCTCCAGCCATTGAAGGAAGAAGACCTGAGGAAAGTTCCTTGGGAATTGGTTAGGGAGGTTCTGTGGAGCTTTGATGGAGAAAGAAAAAAACGGAAATTTCCAGAACCAGGAAGGCATTCAATGTTTTAGGACAATGTTTCTTAACCTTTTTCTGACCACAGCTGCGTTCCCATCTTTCCTCCTTCCTCTGACCCCCTAGTCTCATTCTGTAGCCCCCTGTTTACATGACATTTTACTTGGAGTCCCCTTGGAATATCCCGGGGATCTGGCTGAGCACAAATGGAAACAGTATCTTGGAGAACAGAAAATGAGAGTGGTCAGGTTTGGACTGTATTTTATGCACCAAGGGAATCCCATAGAGTGTGAAAGCAACTGTTCAGGTTTACCTCTGCCCCCCAAATAAGAGCTCCTTATGAGCTGGTACCCACTCTGCCCTTCCCCCATACTCACTCCTGAGCAGCCTTTACACATGGGCAACTTCAGGAGCTGTCCTTGAGTAAATGAAGGGACACATGGATGAGTGGCAGAGACAAAATCGTGAATTCAGCCTTGAAAAGTGGGAAGATCTGAGTGTGTGGAGAGGGTGCAGAGTTCCTTCAACTGTATCACAGCATTGCAGGTTCAGTATCTTGATGCCAATTGACCTTAAAGTCAAAACTTCTCCTGAAGGTGTTGGAGTGATAGTACAACAGGTAAGGTGTTTGCCTTGCATGCGGCCCACCAGGGCTTTATTCCTGGTGTCCCCTGAGCACCGCCAGGAGTAATTCCTGACTGCGTGAGCCAGGAGTAACCCTGCAGCATCACCATGTGTGACCCAAAAGGAAAAAATAAAATTTTCCCCTGAAGTCATAGGTTAGTTAGATGCTTTGGATAAGAAGCTGAACTCCTAATTTATCACCCATTAGTGCCTTCCTTTGGAAGGTATTTTGTATTTTCTCTTTTTTTTTTTTTTTTTTTTTTTTGCTTTTTTGGGTCACACCCGGTGATTCTCAGGAGTTACTCCGGGCTTTGCACTCAGGAATTACTCCTGGTGGTGCTCGGGGGACCATATGGGATGCTGGGAGTCTAACCTGGATTGGCCGCATGCAAGGCAAACGCCCTACCCTCTGTGCTATCACTCCAGCCCCTCAGAAGCTATTTTGTATAAAATCTAAAAATTTTGTGGTTTCTTGGTCAACAGTCAGTGGTAAAGAATGAAAATTGAAGTTGTGTGGCAAGGTTGTTTGACAATATATATATTTTTAAATTTCTTTTTAATAGGACTTTCATGAAATGAGTCATGGTTTACTTCTTATGCTGGAGAACATTGATAGAAGGAAAAATGAAATTGTCCCTATAGATTCGAACCTTGATGCAGAAATCCTCCAGGAGCATCACAAACAGCTGATGGTGAGATGTGGCAACTCATGGCCATCTGGATTCATTTTATTCACAGAAAAAAGTTGGTCCACAGCCAGCGGTGCTTGGGGGCTAATCCCATAGTGCTTGGGGACCACAATCCCCAGGGTGCTGTGCATGCAAAGCCAGGCATGCAATTAGCTCATTGAGTTATCTCTGGTCCATGCACATGGGTATGTATATGTACAGAGAGATTTACCGTTGCTTTAGAGTGTAAAACTTCCCCGCCCTGGTCCTTATAGTTTCCAATTTTTGTGAGGTAAATGTGCATAAATGGTGAAATTTACCAGCTTTAGAATCTACTTTTAAAATCATTGCATTCATATCCTCCAAAGTAGATTGGGCAGTTTATAACAGAAAGACGTTAAATCTCTTAAAAATAGAAGGATTTCATTTAAGCCTTCCTCAGAGGAATTAGCTATCTATCAGAGTCAACATTAACCTTGACGCCAAGTTTTCTGAAAGCTCAGACAGAAAAGGGAAAGTGATAAGTTAAATTGTTTTCATTATCTGGTAAGAAGAAGACATATCAGTTCTCAAGAAGTAAGAAGTTTTTCTAGCAATAAATTCAATGGAGATTTGCGCTACAGAGTTTTATATAGAAAACATGGGACACTATAAAAATGCGCTATGCCTAAGTGATTTTGTAAAACCTAAAGTATATTTGAGTTCCATTAGGAGATAAATGATTTGCATTTGGTTGCTTCCTGTATTTTTCAGGCTGTTATTTCTTAAGAATGAACAGTCGCTCACCTAACCAGCAGAATTCTATAAAAATTATAGAACCCCAAGGGAAATATCAATGCAACTGCATTTTCACTAGACGTTTGCCCTCAGGCATTAAGTTGTGAATGATAATCACCCATACATCTTTTTTAGAATCTCAAGTAGATATTAGAGAATATCTAGACATACTTGAGTTCTTCAAGATTTATATGATAATGTTTCACTTTTCTGCTTAAGAGATTCATTCTGTCTCATTTGCATACTACCATGTATTTTAAGCACTTTCAAAAATCACTTACCTGTTTGAACCTTCTAGTAATACTGACTGTGGACCAGGGCTAGGTTGGTATCCCCACTTTACCTACTGAGGAAATGGGGCATCAGAAAGGTTGAGAGGCCATATAGATTAATTGTGGCAGAAGGTGGATTCCAACTGAGTTCCCTAACTCAGAGAGGATTTTTGCCTTCATGCCCCACCTAGCTGCTGGCTCCCTGAGGCTCAGCTACAGTTGCCCTGTATATTTAATTAATACAGTCTGCGCTTTCGAACATTTCTCCAATTACAAGAATTCCAAACACATTTCTGCTCATCTACGTAGCAAATCAGACGGGAGCTGCTGGAATCCCAACTCCGAGTGGCCTCACTCCAAGACATGTCTTGCCAACTGTTGGTGAATGCCGAAGGCACGGACTGTCTCGAAGCCAAAGAAAAAGTCCATGTTATTGGAAACCGGCTCAAACTTCTCTTGAAGGAGGTCAGTCGTCATATCAAGGAGCTGGAAAGGCTCTTAGACATGACAGGCAGTCAGCAGGTAAGCTCCAAACTGACATGGGGTAGTACTTGGAATGCAGGATAGCCAAGAAATAGCATCTTGATGGCTTCCAGAAAGACTTGGATTGTAGAAATGGTCAGAATAAATTCTCTCCATCTTCGCTTTTACAAGTGCCATCTCAAAAATTTTAAAAAGTGACACATGAGTTTTTATTTTTATTTTTTTTATTTTATTTTTATTCTATTACATCCCAAGAGCTTTGAATTGTTACTAACCCAGTAATTATCACTGTGGTAGCCTTTTATTTCTCTCTGGTGAGGGGAAAATTTATAGGTTTTCCATTCACTGCTCTGGTAGATTTCAAACCTCTGTGAGTTTTGTTTTCAAATCCTAGAAAGGTAGCTGTCTCAAGTCCCTGTTCTCTTTTGAACATACAACTTACTCTTTTCTTGCCTACTCACTCGTACAAGCTCATGTTCTCACATGAGCACAATTTTCTTTTCTCCTGCCCCACTCAAATCTTTCTAAGTAAGTTTTGTTCAATAAAAACTATCTTGCTTCCTTTGGGGGAAAAAATTTCCTAGAAAGGCATAAATTTCCAAATGGGGCAGCTGGGTTTTCTTAAATCTATATTATTATGGCAGCCCTGTGGGTTTGGAGCAATGATTTTGCAAGTACAGGGATGCTTAGTAAGACTTAAGATTGCATTGTAAACCCATTTGGGAATGCACAGACTTTACTCTCCAGTTAACGTGCAAAAGAACAGTCTTCTCAGAAGAATAGCAGGGCTGGGAACAACCCCTTTCTCTGTAGCTGTACAGCCAGTTCCTGGACGATCGTATCTTCAGCAAATGGGCCTCAGTGCAGCTTTAGGGATCTGCCACTGTAGCGTTGCTTCAGCCACCTTCACACCCGGGTCCCCACTAACACCCTTGTCACTAAGAAATCAAGAAGCCCAGAATGACACAGGGGTCACAAAGCCAGAGGTCTTTTCAAGAAAAGCACCCGGTGATGGAGAGAATTCAGTCTGATTCTGTTTCCTGAGAATAAAATTTGATGTTTACAGGGGACGGCTGGGGTGGGGAAAGGCTTTGGAGAAGACCTGGACAACTTGGCTCTGTGTCCTTCTAAGAATCTGCTTCCCACTTAGGATTTGTCTTCCTGGTCCTCTGCTGATGAGCTGGACACCTCGGGATCCGTGAGCCCCACATCTGGGAGAAGCACGCCGAACCGACAGAGAACGGTAACTTTCCACCAGCCACTTGGCCCTTGGTTGGGAACTGGGGGGATGATTGTAACTGGATTTGTGCAGGGTCCCCGTACTTACGTACATACGATGAAGGGAGTGCCTGTGTCTCCTTCCCCTTTGCTCTCTTGGGAATGGGAAGAGTAGTTGTTTTTCCCCATGAGTCAGGGATCCATGGGTGGTTGCTTTGCTGGGATACAAGTTATTGTTCTTTGCCCCAAGGGCCATCTCTAGAATGTTCTCTCATGTCCCTGAGGCAGTTCCTCCCATCAAACCACCACCCACATAGTCCACCAGAAAAAACTGGGTTCCACACAGGGGTCCCTCACCCAGAGGGGCACAAAACTGGGACCATCGCTTGAGACCATTGAATTTATGACATAAGTGGGCAAGTGGAGATCCAACTGACTCTCCAGCTAAAAAGCTCCTGAAGGTTGTTTTTTTTTTTTAACTGCCCCTGCAAATGGCGGCAACTCAGGACACCCCCTCCCACAGAATCTGTTGGGGTGACCCACTCACTTGGCACACCATGAGGAGGAAAAGACAAATTTGCACCCCGTCCTGCTACTACCTTCTATACCTTAATTTCTCTGTGTAATTAGAAGCTTGATTATTTTTTTTTGTTTGTTTTGTTAATTTTTTGTTTTTGGTCTGGCTTTATGATTACACTCATTTTTATTATCATTCCATTTTCCTTAGTTTTTAGAAGTATTGACTGCATTTGTACTTTTTTTGTTGTAAACTTAAGTTGTATGCTGATAAATGTCATTATCTTTTTTAGGATTGTTTTCCACTACATCAACTAGCTTCCTGTAGATCCTAGTTTAAGAATGTGAAGGAATACTGGCTTTTCGAGTCCAATTTTTGCCTTTATCTAACGCAAGCATTTAACTTGTTGCGTCTTCCTCGCTCGACGAAGAACAGCCTTTTATCACCACTGTGATTTTTTTAATCTCCCAAGAATTTCAATACTGTCCCAGTGTTCTGGACGATGGCAGAGAAATATGTAAAGTACACTTGAAATATGTATCTTGGCATGTTGAAAGTAAATACGCAGATAATCTTGGCGAGGGTAGAGTCATTCAAGATGCTACTTTGCAAAGTGTGGGGTGGGAAAAGGCGCCCACGTTCGCGTGGACCCCACAACCACAGAGACGGTTAATCTCTAATGAATTCGAGCACTGAAAATGGATTTCATTTTTTTCCACCAAAGAAAAGCCAGTTTCCTTAATTCATGGGTACTGATCATTTCATTTGATTTGTTTTTTCCTTGGCTGCACTTTTAGTTTAATTTCATCAGTAGCTTGTCTTGATTTGCCTGGACTGAACATTCTTCTTTCTTTACCCCCTGTTCATTGCAAACAGCCACGAGGCAAATGTAGTCTCTCACAGCCTGGACCCTCTGTCAACAGTCCACAGAGCAGGTACCTTATTCTCCTGGTTTCCACACTGTTCTAGAACGCCAAGAGGATGATGAAAATGGTCCATGGTTGAGGTCGGCCTTGTTCTGGCCTACCTCTGGGTAGTTGAGAAGTGATTGGTTAATGTTCGTACCTTCTCCTATTAATTACATGGAAAGAATCTTATTGAAGTGCAGAGCACAGATTAGCCTCAGAGCACAGGCTCTTGGGGCCCAACCTAACGTCGGGCCTCACTCCAGAGTCTATCTGGCCCTCGGCATCAGAGGGTCATCCTGCTGCGTGTCCAGCAGACCCCACACCTGGCCATTGGGTTCATGGCAGACTTTTCCTCATCCTCTTTGTTTCTAGATTGTACAATAAGTCAGGGGCTCGATCAGTGAATTCTTCTGACCACTTCCAGAACCCACAACTCTGCATAAAATGTACTAACACCCTCCTCCTCCTCCCCCAGCCTTTTCTTTGCTTTTCCCGATTTTATCCAGATTGTGGGTTTGGGATTCTCCCAGCCAGGGCGAGTCCTGATTCGGTGTTCATTAAACATGGATAGACGCACCCCTCCCCCACCCCGTCTCTCTGGCTTCTCTGAAAACTCCTCTTGGGCCAGCACACGCAGCAGCCACTCACCCGCTGACACCCGCAAAGTTCTCTCACCCCAGAAACACTGGCAGGCAACACCCCGCCCCCGGGGACACCTCCCGAGACCCTCCTCACCACTTTCCTCACCCCTGGCCTACCCTGTCGCTGCAGGTAGCGCTGCTTCGCCTTCCTCCTTGTTGGTGTGGTGTCTGTGTGTCTCTGTCACCAATCAGCTCAGTCTCCCGGGCACCTTTCACGGGGACCTGACAGTCCGCCCAGCTGATTTTTTCATCCCCAGCCCCAAGCAGTAAACCCATCTGGAACCTGGTTACTCCAAAGCAGGCATCCAAGCTCCTAGAAGGAGGGCAGGGAACCAGGCGGGGGGCAGGAGGGAGGCACCCCACCCAGACCCCAAACCCCAGATTTTGCTTCACAGTGGGTGCTCAAGGGCAGCTTCCTTGGCCACTGTCCACCAGCTGAAGGCCCGCGGGATGTATTTTGATGTGCTTTCCGGTTTCCAGCCTCCCCTTGTGTTTTATTTTTGTAATTTCCCACTGGGTTTTTGTTTGAAAACAATTGTGTAAGATTTGGATTAGGGGTGGGGGTGATTGTCTTAATAAAATATCACTAATGAACTCTGAAGGGAGGTCGAATCTCGTGGGGCTTCTGGAAGGTAATGTGGACTCCTGTAAGTGTGCTTACGGGTTCTTAGCCCCCTTCCAGACAAGCAACTGTGGCCCACAGTCTGTCCTGCCGACAGTTCATCTCCTCTCCCAACTTGCAGATGGGCCATGAACAGAGATCAAGGTTGTCCCCGGCGTGTCCCCTTTACGGGCCCCGGAGTCCACTTTGTCCCTCACCAGAGAGGACAGTCATAGGAGAGAAAAGACTTTTTGCTTTGCAGTGTCATGCCTCTTGGCTCTCCCAGGCAGTGGTTGCAGATGCTCGGGTCCCCTAGTGATGTGGGAGCCATCGTTTCTCTGAGCCACAGGTGCTTTAGCGTGTCTCCTCACTGGGCTTTGCGGCTGGCGGGCCACCTTCTCACTGAGACCACCCCAAAGCACCTCTCAGCTCTGCCCTCTCCAGCGCTCTGGATTAATCCCTTTCTAAGCACCCAGCACTGTTTCCTCTTTGCTCCTCAGGTGGATGGAGGGGGCGGGGGGAGGGCTCTGAGAGGTCCAGAATACAAAAGAATGTCACCCGAATGGCGGCCTACCTCAGAAACCTTGGTGGTCAACTTATGGGTGAGCGTTCTCAGATCTAACTCCATGGCACCCCTGCCCAGGGAGGGATCCAGTCCATGAGTGCAATGCACACTCGGCTGGGCAAGAGAGAACCTGACTCGCACCCTGGACTGTCACTGCGTTCCTCCATACCAGGAGAAGGGAGAGTTACCTTGGGTTTGATCTTGCACTGGTTCAGCAAATTCCAAAGGTTAGGGGCAAAAGCACGAGCCATTGAGAATGTTGACCAGCCCCACCATCTGCAGTGTCCTGAGGCACTAAGGAGACAGAGTTTCCACTGGTGGGGAGGAGGTGCTTATGTTTTCTGATTGTGTCAAGTTAGATTATGATATCAGTGGTTGGCCTTCCAGAGATTTCCATAGAATCTTATCAACACTTGGCAGTAGAGTCTGGCTTTAGATGGATGGATGCCAATATTTACTATACACTCAACTCTCTTCAGCCCCTGGGCCTACAATATGAGTACAGTTTTTGGGGAGGGGGGGAGCATAAAACTTGCCAAACAGGGCAGGGAGATGACTCAAGGGCTACGTGCTTGATCCCCTGAACATCTCTGAGGAGTAGCCTCCAAGCACAGCACGGAGCTCAGAATTACATATATATACATACATACATACATACATACATAGGGTGGGGGAGAGAAAGCTGGGAATAGCCCCTGGGTATGACCCAAGAGGGTGGGGCTTAGAAAATGTGTCTAAATCTATAGATTGATCAAGTCAATTCTCAGAACTTTCCCAGTACACCTCCTTACCAGTATTTGAACCCCATCTGTTCATATGTTCACATTAACAAAACTTACGATTTATTAACTTAATTTTTTTTAGAGAAGTATGCATTTTGAAGCAATGCTTTGGAAGGTCCATCTAAGTCCTTTTGTGTTATTTTCTACTTTTGACCCCAAACCGTCTGACCTGATTGCCAGAAGCTCATCTCCAAGCTACTGTGGTTTGGCTGATGTTGACCCAAGAGAAGATTTCATTTCTGTTTCCAGGAAGGCCAGGGCCTAATTGTCTTGTGCTCTAGACAGAGTGAATTCAGACTCTATCCTGGAGCTTAGAGTTGTATGGGTCTCTAGCTGCCTGGCCCCTGGCACAGGGAGTTCGAGGCTGAATGAGAAGTGGTCAATTACAGGCTAAAACCTTGGGAGGGAAGGAGACTGCATGCAAAGAGAGGATGCAACAGCAGAGGCACTGAAGCAAGAATTCTGTGTTTCTTTGTCATCTGGGCCTCACTGCAAACACTGTTCAGTTTCCTGTGGAATATTTGTTGCCCAATCTTCTATCCAATCCCACCCTGGGCATCTGTCTATTCCAAGGGTTTAAAGAGCAGCCATGTTAACAATGTCCCCTCTAGGGCGAGCTGGTCCCCCAACTGAGAATAGCCATAGGACAAGGCTCCAGTAAGGCTCTGCTTAGACTGTTCTGAGGTTTGCATCCCTCCCGTTTTCACGGAGCAAATCAGGCACTTGGAACTGCAGCCTGTCTTTTTAAGCACTGGGAGGAAAATCAGGAATGTTCTCCCTCGTGGGGGCTTACCTTCAGACTAGGAATCGGCTGATTCTGGCTTTAATAATGCAGAGAACAACAGTGCAGGGGTGGCATCTCCATCACCTTGGTCCTCTAGACGACACCACTGAGCATTGGCTGGATGCCACTCCGGTTGGCCCTGCCAATATCCCCATGAGGCATCTCTAGACCCAGTTCCATGATCAAGATACTGGCAAGCGGAAAGATTCAGGACTTGAACCCAGGTCTGCCTGACTCAGTGCACTGAGACTCAGCCACTCTGCCCTGTCTCTAGGAGGGCTGTTTTATGGGTGAGGAGAGAGTGGGAGCTGCCTCAGCCCGCAGTTGCCAAGGAGGCGCCGTCACAGGCTGCCGGACAGGCTCAGTTTGGGCAAAGAGGAGAGCTCAATTTTCTGTTGATTTTAGAAGTCAATTCCCACCACCCAGGCCTCTGTTGGGTTCCAATAAACGGTCACATCAGAGGGATCACGGGCAGCCTAGATCTTGCCTCACCAGTAATTCCTGGCATCCTTGCTGAAGTGTTCTCTGACACAGAGCATCACAAATCAAAGGGCTCTTTTCACTTGGGTTTGAATAATGTTGTGTTACATTATTTGCACAGAACTAATTTATTTGGATTTTCTTGATTGTGTAAGAGTTTTTTGTTGTTATTGTTGTTTGGGGCCACACCCAGCAGGATTTAAGAGCTACTCCTGGCTCTGTGATCTGAGGTCATTTCTGCAACTGGTTGGGGGACCGAATGTGATGCTGAAAATTAAACCATAATTGAAAATTTTTGAACGGTGTCACTCCTCATGTCTACCCACCAGACAGATTCTTTTTTGTGGGGTGCCTGTTATATGCCATATACTGTCATCTCCCCATTCTTCTCTCCTCACCATCATATGCATTTGGAGAGGAGTTAGGACATTACAGAAATTTGAGTGAAGGGAGTGAGGAACCTAGTCAAATAAAACTCTAAAAATCTACTTGGAGAGAATGAGTGCATTATCCCCAGCAGAACTATCTGAAATATCTCTATAGTGTGTGGGTTTTTTTTTCTTTAGTAATATCACACATTACTTCCTTTTTGCTTTATAGGCATAATAGTTACTAGGGAAATAATACATGACTAGCAAGTGTGTTGCCTTTATGCTTTGCCTTGTCAAGTTTCCCAAGATTCTAGGGATTTTAGGTAGAGAAATAGGAAAAGCCCTTCCCCTGGTTGGATTAATGTGTTGACACTAGAAAGTTCTGGGAAATATTTGCTATAAAGAAAAGGCCACTTGCGGCATGTGGAAATCCTAGTAACTGTCCGCCCTCGTGTGATATTTTTCTCTGCGGGGTGGTTTGGGCATTCCCAGGAGTAGTCCACTGCATGGAAACTCACCAAGTAATATGTGAGCCCATGACTTTGCTCAAAGTTGGCATTCTTCAATATTAAGGGCACACCTCAATTAAATTTTAATAAGGAAATCTCTGATGCTGTTTACTGTGCCATGTCCTTCACTGGACTGTCTACCTTCCCAGCCCACATTTCCCAAGACACTGACCTTTCTTGTCCTTCTCAGGAGACAATCAGTAGTCAATATGAATCCTGACTTGGACCATGATCATTGGCTTCAAGAGGCTAATAATTGACAGACAAGGCCTCCTGGGCACCAGCATGCATAAATCTGCCCATCGCTGATGCCCTTCAGTGCCTCCAAAGGAAAATGAGTCAGAAGTCTCCCTCACCATGCTTAAATGCTTAATGGGAAACATGGGGTTCTCTTTAGGGCTTCTGTTATAACTCATCCAATAACAGGTGGTGAGTGACATTCACTAGGGTGGAATTTCATCTCAAAGGAGAGGGCCAGAGAGATACTACAGGGTGAAGATACTACTTGTCTTGCACGTAGTTGACCTTGGTTCAATCCTCAGCACCGGAGATGGTCCCCTGAGCACTGAGCAACAAGTAGCCCATGAGCACCAGCAGGGGCTGTCGTCACCCACCCCCAATCCAAAGAAATGAAAATTCAGATCCAAAGTTTATATGGAAACTGGCCCATTCTTCTCAACACACTTTTAGAAAAAGAATCGAATCCTAAGCTATTAGAGCTCAGATGACGTTAGCTCTGTCCCTGCTCATCTTTCCAAATAAGAAACTGAAGGACAGAGACGCAGAATCACTTGGCTGTGATCACACAAGGGTCTCCACACAGAACGCTTCATGTCACCTGCTGGCTTAACAGTCTATCAGCCTGCAGGGTAGGAGCTGTTTAATTTAGATGGGAGGAAGTCACTCAGTTTCAAATAATTTAGGGTGCAGTTATTTCCTTTCACATGTGAGATGCCCTTGTATGACACTTTTATTCATAATTTCATACTACAGAATATTGAGGAAACTGTGGTAGGCAGGAACTGTAGAACCTCAAAGTTTTGCTCAGTCTTTCCCCCTAACTATGAAACTGGAGTGTATACTTGCCCGAGATTAAAGTTCAAATTCTGGGATTTCAGTTCTCAGGGCTGAAATCTTAATCCTGCTATATCCTCCTTGTATAACCTTGAACCAGTTATTTCACATCGTCAAACCCTCTTGGATCATCCCCAAAAGGAAGACAAAAATAGAACATTTCTAGTAACTCTTGTGGGGATGTTGAGAATCCAAGATAAGTATTTAGGCTATTGTCCAGCCATTGGAAAAATAAATGCTAGCTAACCATAGCACCCTTAGCTAATTAGAAGATGGATTCTATTCTAGCCAAGACCTTATCTCAGCACGAATGCTCACTACATAGGTACCTCAAAAAGTTTTCCTTTCCCCCTTCCATTAATAGGACAAACTTCTTTTAGGGTTTAGAGTCCTTTGCCATCTGCTTTGGATTTTTCCTCTTCGACTCATTAGGATTTGGTCTTAGCAAGGACAGTTAATCTGTTTCACCACTAGATGGTGATTGAACTCTTGAAGCCTGGAAAGACTTGAGAGACTTTTACACTGACCAATTAGTAGGTGATATCAAATGTATAAAACCTGGGACTTTCAGGTTGATGACCCTCTAGTTTAATTTGAAAGAGATGCCAGAGGTTAACACACATAATTCATGTGTATGTATAAAATCCCTCTTTGTAATAACACTTGTTCCTCCACCTTTTCCTTGAGAGACTCAAGGTAGTTTTGATGAATACTCAAAGAGAGAACATGGGAGAAGCTGTCCTAGATTCTAGTTTCATTGTCACCACAAGCAATGAAATTCTTGTGATTCCTGAGATTCAGACTTATGCTCCAGTGCTTATGCTCTTTAAAAGAATATAGGGGGCTGAAGCAATAGCACAGCAGGTAGGGCATTTGCCTTGTACACGGCCAACCCAGGTTCGATTCCCAGCATCCCATAGGGTCCCCTGAGCACCACCAGTAGTAATTCCTGAGTGCAGAGTCAGGAGTAACCCCTGTGCATCATTGGGTATGACCCAAAAAGCAATATATTGATATGCCAGACACAGTAACAACAAAGTCTCCAATGGAGACGTTACTGGGCCTGCTCGAGCATATATATATATATATATATATATATATATATGGAGTAACGTCTCCATTGGAGACTTTGTTGTTACTGCGTCTGGCATATCGAATACTCTCGGTAGCTTGCCGGGCTCTCCGAGAGGGATTGCTTAAAGTACTGAGTAAACATGCTTTCCAGGCTGGAGTCCCACGTACAATTCCCCAGAACAGAACCAGGAGTAGCCCTCTCAAGCAATTGAGGCATGACCGAAACAATCAGAAAGAATATAGGACAATAACAGTGAATGGGAAAGCTTTGAGTTCAGAAGACTTTGGGGTGACAGACCACCTTCTGTGAAACATGACATCTGTTTCCCAGAGCTAGTGATGGATCAACCAGCCAAGGGTGCCTATGATTCGTGCCCAGGTACCACTGTCCCCGTTCACACAGCTTTGAGATTCACTCATGGCAGGGCTAGGTGCTGAGTCAGTGCAAGATGAAATCAGGGTGTACCCTCCTTGAATTGAGCTTTCCGGGTCGAGGCAAAAAGGACTGTCTTGGCTGTGTCTCCAGGTGAAGCCTCTCCAGGATGGCTCCATCGGCCACTGTATCTCATGCTGACAGCAAGTCCTGTTGGCCAGTGGTACCCTGATGGTCTTAAGCCCCAAATATACCGCATCAAACATCCATATTTGAGTTACCTCAGTTCTACTTCAGTTATGCCGGGAAATAATGTATGCTATAATTCTCGTCCTGGATGGAAAGCATTCTTTTTTTTTTTTTTCAAATTAAGGGGTGGAATTTTGAGTCAAATGACTTACTTTTAATTGTCTGACTCAATGCTGCTAATTTTTTCATGGGTGTCGTTTGCAAACAGCACATGAGGGAGGGACCCCAGGCATACCGCAGAAGGCTGGCATCTCACTGCCTGGTTGGTGGGTGGGTGGTGGAGACGGTCTCTTGAACTTCCGGGAAGGCGAGGAAATCACAAAAGCAGCCTCTGTCTAATAGCTGAGATGTTTGAGTTATTTATGTCGATTCTTCTCTCAGGTCCAGAAAAGGTGGCTCCGATTCCTCCCTTTCTGAGCCTGGGTCAGCTCGCTCCGGCAGAAGCTTCCTTTCCCGGGTCCTCCGGGCAGCCCTGCCTCTGCAGCTTCTCTTGCTGCTGCTCATTGGGCTCGCCTGCCTGGTGCCCATGACCGAGGAGGACTACAGCTGTGCCCTCTCCAACAACTTTGCCCGGTCATTCCACCCAATGCTCAGATACACCAATGGCCCTCCTCCCCTCTGAGCGCCATCGGCAGCAATGATTGTAGTCGATGAGGGGGTATGAGGACCCAAAGTTTGGCCAAAGCCCATGTGATGTGGCATCAGCTCGCCTCGAGGTCCCACCCGCAACGTGGCTGGCCTTGGAGGTGGATGAAGAACACGGACGGGAACAGATCAAATAGGCCACGGAAGGTGGGGAAGAAATGCAGCGTGAGCAATTCTGAACCTCAGCACTCAAGAGATTCTGGAGGTGCATCCTGATCCATCAATTCCCTGGTGCTCCACCGTGGTGCTCCACCCCAGCACCATGTCCGTACGGAGCCTTCTCCCGGCCCGCCCGTGCTGAAGAGATTTTCAATCCTTGTAACATACGATTTTTAAGAGCTTATAGGAGCATTTCCTTTTTAACTGCTTTTCCTTTAGGGCATGGGATTGTCACCTTTGCTTTAGAAGCACCAGCTGTAAATCTAACGAGGCACTTTTTTTAAAAAAAGAAAAAAAGAAAAAGATATAAAGGAAAAACTGGATGTAATAAATAAAATCATAGAAGGCTTTATGTGAAAAAAAAGTTGAATGTTATAGTTTAAAAAAAGATATTTATGTATGTACAGTTTGCTAAAGCCAAGTTTTGTTTGTATGATTTATTTGCATTTATTATAGATATTATAAAATATTTTGTCTGTGCTTTTATTTTTTCCTTCCGCCTTAAAAAAAAAAAAGGACTCAATTTGCCCTTTGCAGAATATGATCTAAATTAACCCTCTTTCATTCAGGAATAAATGAATGAAGCTGAAACTTAAGTATATCTTTTAGGAGTAGGATAGAAGGAGGGTGTGCCTGTTTAGCTACAGAGAAACCTGAATGCTTTTCCCTACTCCTCTCATGACCAATCACTTTTCCTGAATCCCTGCCTCTCTACATCTTTCTATTTCTCTTGCTACAGAGAAGATCCTTCTCTCCCTCCTCTCTGTGGCCTCTTCTTCACAGCACCCCAAGGGTGCTTACAGCCACTGAGGTTCCCTCACAGCACTCTTAGTTCAAAAACTTTATCTAAGCTCCAAAACTTTCTACTGGTTTCTATTACCCACCAAATAAATTCCATTTCAGCCTCTCCTTCTCGTCCCTAATATGATATTCTGCCCCTTTTACCTTGCCAACTTGTGGTCCTGGTGGAACTGTTTGATGCTAAACACATTGGAGTCCATCAGTCTTGGAAACGGGAGGATCTTCGTTAACTCCAGGCTTTCTCTGGCAAATGGACAGTTCAGGAATCCCACACACACTTTCCCACACACCAAGAATTGCTGCAGAGGCGGCCACTGTCTCTTGGAGCACAGAGAACGTTTGCTTTTACAGGGCGTTGATTTCAGCCTCTATCTCTTGTTCTCTGAGTCAGCCTGATACCGGTACGGATGTGCACTCATGAATTCTGTCTAAATCGAGTATTGTGACCCAAGTTTGAAACAATCCGAAAGATTCTTCCATGGATTCTGAGCCACTTTGCCTGAGCTCCATCTCCAGTCCAGGCTTGAAGGTTCTTAAAGCGTTTTTGTCCTGGGACTCACGACAGACCTTTCAGTTCAGTCTGGGGGTGTAGCCTGGAGCCTACTTATTTAAACCACTGTCTTTGGTCTTGAGTTATTTCAGTCCTCACTGTGGCAAACCCCCAGCCCTGAATCTACAAAAACTCCACCTTTTCTTTCTCACCACCCGCCCACCTCCTCCATGAAGGCCTCCAGAATGATGCCTTCAGGACTGTTTCAGAATCCCTAAACTATTTTAAGGAGCTGCCTTAAACGTGGGCGTTGTGCTCTAGTTTACTCCTATTTTCTCTGTACTCCTCCTTGGGGAACTGGTGGGAAGCAGAGAAGATGACGCTATGTGTGACAAGGGCCAGGGAACACAAGCTGAAGAGATCCCTGTGCCCTCAAGGCCTAGCTGTTGCAGTCATGTCCTGTGACTTCAGCTCCAAATCCATCTAGAGCCCCAAGTCCTCCATGTGCCTCTGTTGTCATGGAAAGTGTCCCCCAAGGCGCCATTCCTCTTGGAAAAGGCCAATCTGAGCTCCTCTCCTCCCCTCAACCTGTGACCTGAGTCCTGCCATCTCCCATCTAAGGCTCAAAGTGAAAGGCAGCTGAGTCAACCAATCAGCTTTCATTCAGAACAGTTTCGAGACGCTTCCCATTCCACATCTCCCACTTCCCCAGATGTGAAATGGGACACATACCCTGCATGTCCTTGGAATGTCTTGAACAACCACCAAATATTGGAACCCACAGATGTCCTAAGGAGCTAGTTTAGAGGAACTGCTGGGGTAATTAATGCTATGACTAGGAAATAATACCAACATTAGTCTGAGGAATTAGGGCGTTTGCCTTGCACACAGCCAACATGGCTGACCCGATTTCGATTCTTCTGCCCCTGGCAAGCTACTGAGAGTATCTAACTCGTACAGCAAAGCCTGGCAAGCTACCCGTGACATATTCAATATGCCAAACACAGTAACAACAATGTCTCATAATGGAGATGTTACTGGGCCCATTTGAGAAAATCGATGAACAATGAGAGGACAGTGACAGTCTGAGGAATATTAACAGTGATGGAGACCTCGGGAAGTAGGCAGGGCGAGGTTAGGAACTGGCCCTAAGGAAAGATATTATTGGGATGGAATATTTGGGCCTAGATGGTGCCCAATAACCCAAATGACCTCAACTCTTTCCAGTAGCTAGTGACAGAAAATTCTAGATGACTCCAGATGACACTCCTCTTAGCATCCTCATGTTTTAACTGTCCCACCTGCTTGAAACTCAGTAAAGAAATGCTTACCTCTGTACCCCCTTTGTTAACAAAATACATACAGGGGAACATTTTCTGCTCTTCCCTGCAATCTCTCTTCAGACCTTTCCTGAAACTGGGGAGCCTCCCTAGGTTTCTTCTTCCTTCTTTTTCCTAAAACCTTGTCCCAAAATCTTTTCTGAAGTTGGCCAATCTCCAGTTCCTGGCTTTCAATTTTGATGACTTGATGACAGAAGTTGAGTGTCTGCATCTGTTGATGCTATAATGCTGCTAATCAGAAGGACAAGGGGAATGACTTAGGGGAAGCAAGGGGTTTAATTATGAAGCTAGGGCTTTCCCCAGGCCTGAGAGACAGCACTGAGACACCCGCCTTACAAGCAGCCAAGCCTGGTTCAATCCCTGGCACTACATATGATCCCAGAGCATCTCTAGACATAGCCTTGGAGACGGCTCAGCACCTCTGTGTATGTCCAGCGGGCCGCCAGACACTGCCAGGATGACCTGAGGCATGCCAGGGGTGGGGGAAAGAGGCAAAGTGAGAGCAGCACTATCTCCTGATGCCTCATGAACCCTTCACCAGGTTGACTGAGAATCACAGGAATAGCCCCGCAGCCTCCTGAGCTCTGCTAGGGAGGACCACTCTCCCAAGAATGAGAACCACTAAGCACAGATGAATCTAGAATTATATGGAACACCTCCCTCCCCCACACACACAGTTTCACATGCCTTCTAAGACAGGGGGCTCACTGGGGTAGCTGTAGAGGCATTCTCACCTGTACCCACAGTTGCCTGCTCAGAGAGAGTTTATATTAAACACAGATGCCAGGAAAGCTAGCCAGGATCTCAAACGACCCAACGTGATACCAAAGATTGGAAATGGGGTCTTGTGATGGGTGGGTAAGGAAGGATAAGAAATATCAGTTGAGATCTGCACAGGCCGGGTGAGAAAAGGTAAGGAAGGAGGGGGCAGGCGTGTAACCTGTGAAATCCAGACAGAAGGAAGGACGAGAAGCTTAGAGTAGTGAGTTCCTCAGACCCCCAGGAAGGAGGCCAAGGAATAATGCCCTGGGAGTTTGAGGTTGCCTCCTGGAAAACTAAGGGTAACGGCAGCTTCCCTTGTTTGCCTAGGAAGTGAGCAGTGATGCCTTCCAAAGGCTTGACCGGAAGCTCAAGACCGGAAAAAAGATTAAGTGTGGGGAAAAAAAGACCGGCTGGGGTGCACTGATTGACAGCTGGAACCAGAAGCCAGATCCTGAGAAAGTCAGGCCACAGAGATCTGAACAGAGTGAGTTAGGCAAAGCCATGACAAGAGCTGCGGAATGCAAACATCAAGGCCAGAGGCAGAGCCTCAGGGAGCTGTTCTGAGTCACGGTTCTCATTCTTCCTCCCACCCATCCCCAGCCCTCACCATCATCAAATACAGCCCTGGGAAATTGGACAACAGCATGGCTTCTCAGGGACTCTGCCAGCTAGGTCCAAAGATACCTGGACACAGTAGTGTCCACTCAGCACAAGCCTGCAGCCTGAAGCAAGAGCAGCTCCAGGCTCCTCCAGAGTCACCCTGCAGGGCCTCATCTCTTGTCTAGCTACCTGGAATCTACATTTCACTCCACTTATAAAGCCCTTGAAGAAGTCACCTTCCACAACATAGCACGTGGGCTTGGAAATGACTTGAATCTAGGATTTGAGGTTCAAAGGGAGGCCCTGCAGACTAATGAGAAACAATTTGTCATTCCCTTATGGACCTACAGGAATAAAAATTGGGGATCCTAAAGAAAGCATTTAGACACTTAGAGCACCTACCTTGTGAGTGTCTGGTAATGAGTTCAAATGCCTGGTGTCCTACATCACTTCACTTAATCACTTAACTTCCCGTTAGTCGTCGATTTGCTCGAGCGGGCGCCAGTAATGTCTCCATTTGTCCCTGTCGCGTGCTAGTGTAGCCCAATGGCATCTCTTCGCTCCGGGAACATGGAGGGCCTCAAACCGATCGTTCATGACCTTGACAAAGAAGTCTGACCATCTGGTAGGTGGGCGGCCACGCGGTCTCTTGACATCCCGTGGAATCCAATCAGTAACAGCTCTAGTCCAACGGTCGTCTTTAAATCTCATTACGTGACCAGCCCATCTGATTTTCGACACCTTGGCAAATGAGACAGCGTCCCTGATCCTTGATCGTCGACGGATGTCAGAACTCCGGATTCGTTCTCTCATTTGAGTGAAACGTGATATTCCAAGCATAGCTCTTTCTATTCTTCTTTGGGAGACCTGAATGGCGTTCTCATCTTGTTTGCGTAGGGCCCAGGTCTCTGAGGCATATGTTAATGCAGGAAGAACAGTGGAATCAAAGAGATGTGCCCAGAGCCGGAGGTTCTTCGTCCTCTTAGCTATTTCTTCGACGTTCAGCTACATGCAGGGAGCAAATTTCTGGCAGCTCTGTGATTAGCAAGCCTCAACATCACCAACAGCCTTACTCTAGCCAGGCTTGTAAAGAACCACAAAAAAAGGATGCGAATGCAAATAAATTATGTGCAAAACACGCGTGCACACACACACACACATGCACCACAGCTAGGACATGCAACCCCCCACAAGCACATGTGTGAGTACCACGACTACAGGAGTGGAGGCCTGCATGAGCACTGTGACCCAGTTTGTGACTGCTACAATCTGATGTGCAATTCTGGCCAGCACCACAGCCTCACCTGTGCAAGGACCAACCACAGCCTGGTGTGTCTGTTGCCCCCAGGTCATCTCAACAACAGTAACAATAGTGCAGGAAGTGGGGGGGGGGGGTAGAAATTTAAACATAAAAAGATGGGACCAAGAGACAGTAGGACTTGTGAGACACTGACCTTGCTTGCAGCCAACCTGGGT